ACAATGCCTCCTCGTACGTGCACCAGTAGCCACCTATCTCCTCATCCTCGTCGTCATCCTCCTCTCGTCCTCCTCTCTCTCGTCCTCCTCCTCTCCTCCTCCTCCTCCTCCTCTCCTCCATCACCACCTCACCACCACCACCCTCTCCTCCTTGCATCACTGCTGCTGCCACCTCATCGCCACCACCACAGCCACACCACTTGAGGGAGGACCCAGGCAACATGCCAATGCATTGTCTAGGCCCTCCCTCGAGTGTCCACCTCTGGAATTACCTCCTATCCCCATGCACTCACCATATATGGCAAATGCATGAGGCATTAATTGTTCCATGGTTTGAACCCGATTTAGTCTGGTTTGGGGTTCAGACCAAAGTGTCCAAGAACCAAACTGAACTGAACTTTGGCATCCCTAGTTCTGTACAATGAGCTGAGATATAGACTGCCCCATAGATGAAGAATCAACTGACAATTCCATGGTCATCCTAAACAGATGTTGTGGATGAAAACCTTGGAAAGCCTGCTGCAGGATGGCCTCCATGCCATAAATAGGGTTGTTTAGTAGGTAAACTGATCATATTGATACATGTGTTCTAGCTTTGTAGGGCCCTTCATCTCTACACCCTATGACCACCACCACCAGTTCAGCATAGGCATTTTATGTCATCAAGCCACCTGGCACTATAAAATTGGAATTCAGCATCTTCAAACCACCTGGTTTGACAATACTGCAACACCATATTGTGATTATTTTGTTACTGAACAGGACCAAAGGCAGGTGGGCTGCCTGGAGGGCAATGACATTTTAGAGGATTAAGTTATATGTTTCATCATGCAGTTCTGGCACCAAGATTTTCCCACAGCATTTGCTTGGTGACTCCGCGTCGTCTCCGCGTATCGTACAACGGCGAGCCTGTGAGCCTCCATACCACGGTAATATGTCACTCACCGAGCTAAGGTTAACGTATTGATGTCTGTACTCAATTGTCGGGTGCAATTGTCGACTTTTGGGGTTCATATTACGAAGGGACAAAATTGGCCGCTAGTTCGGACTACTGTAACCTAACGTCTGCTCTTTTCAATTGAGACACCTGTGTTGACCTCGTTATGCCAAAAAGACTATCACTTTGATGTATTTTACATCTCCGCTTATCACTCTGTCCTTCAGGTACGTCTTTTTTTATTCAATGACGCGCGGGCGTCTGTCTACTCGCACTTATAGCAATCATTCCGAGTCGGTAAGTCCCTTCTGCCTTGAGTCCTACTTTCAATATCGGTCCGTACTCAGAGATCTCTGTCTCCACTCGCTTCCTTCATCGTTGGCACCCCCCATGTCTTCCATAGCTGAAGATGAGCAAAATCTCGAGGCCCTTGGCTACAAGCAGTCATTCAAACGCGAGTTTTCCAATCTAGCCACCATCAGCTTTGCGTTTAGCATAATGGTACTCGCACTTTCATGCTCTATCACTAGCGCCTGTTAATTTATCGAATCTTTGTAGGGCCTCTGCTCGAGTGTTGCAACCACATTCAATACTCCTCTCCTTCTCGGCGGTCCAGCCTCCGTATGCACGTCTATCTATACCACATCTTTTCTTGTCTCCACTCACCCTCTCCTTAGGTAACATGGTGCTGGATAATTGGCTCTTGCATGTGCTTCACCCTTGGCTCCAGCATAGCTGAAATCGTTTCCGCTTTTCCCACCTGCGGTGGTCTTTACACAGCCTCTGCCCAACTCTGTCCTAAATCACACCGTGCGGTTGTACGTCTCTTCGTCCTTTCTCATTAGCCTCTAACGCTAACACCACTGCGCGCATTAAACTAGGTCGGTTGGATCGTAGGCTGGCTCAACATCCTCGGCCAGGTCGCTGGTCTCTCCTCCACAGAATTCGGACTCGCCAATATGATATGGGCAGCCGTCTCCATCACGAATCCTAATATGACCATCACTCCAGGAAAGACCGTCGGTTTATTCACCGCTCTCCTCTTTGTTCACGGTGCGCTCAACTCGCTCGCAACACGCCATCTCGCGCTCTTCACGCGCTTCTTTGTCTTCATCAACCTTGGCGCTACTGTCGTCATCGTCATCGTCCTTCTCGCGATGACGAAGCGCGAGGATATGCACCCTGCAGGGTATGTGTTTGGTTCAGAGGGGATAGTGAATCAGACAGGCGGATGGCCTAATGGGATAGCCTTCCTCTTTGGCTTGCTTAGTGTCCAATGGACGGTGCGTCGCGTCCCTTAAAAAGTTAAAGCAACAACGTATTGATGAACCAACTACAAACACTACAGATGACGGTATGTGATACGGCTCTGATCGTATAACTGGCTCTCATTATTTATCTCCGCGGACATCAGGATTACGATGCTACTGCTCATATATCGTAAGTCTTTGATGGTGGCTCTGTCGTTGATACATTTAGCTGACCGGTAACCATGTGTGTGGGCCACCACTTACAGAGAAGAAGTCCGGCGAGCAGCATATGCAGGTGAGATCAGCGCCACCACAGTTCATCTCACCGCCGTGATCACTACAGCAGCTAACTGGACTTTCTTTTTGACTTTGATTTTATAGCACCAGCGGCTATTTTCATCGCAGGTGCGCCGTTCACGGATGTCTACGCTATTACATTCCCGAGCTGACACTTTATCCATCATGCCTTGATCCCTTGTCTCTCACCAACCTTTTTTCCCCTAGTCATCGGGACGGGTATCCTTGGATGGATTCTCAACATCGTGCTCGTCCTCTGCTCCGGTCCGCTGTGAGTGATATCTTCCAATCTTATCTTTTCTTGGGCATGTGGTGTGGGTAATTTTCGTAATTCTTGATTGGTTTGTTGGTTGTTTTCTCCAGTTGGTTTGCGTGGAGTACGATTCATGATTCGATTTGATTTGTCCTTTTCTGTTTTCTGCTGGAAGGCTTTATCAATAAAAGATCCCAGGATCCGAAATGTGGTGAAACAGGTTACCATGCATTGCATTGCGCGTGCCCCTTGATTGTCGAGGAACGAGCACGATGTTCCTGTTTTGCTTGCTTCGTTTGGACTAGTTGGTGCACATTTTGTCACTTGTCTCTGTTGGACGCATCTATACCTTGTCCGTGATTCATTCCATCGCTTTGTGTGTTAGATCTCTTCGGCTTCATTTCGTTTGTCCCCGTTGTCGTTCTACGAATTTCCCTTGGTGTCATGAAACCCTCGAAAGCAAATTGTAACCTCACCCGATTCTTGCAGAGAAAACTTGCCCGGCCCATCCGACTCGGCATTCCTTGAGGTGCCTACCCTCTCCTTGTTTTACCCTTCACATCTCTAACTCAAATTCCCAATGGCGTGCAGATTATGGCCTTGCGGATGGGAAAACCAGTCGCGCTGTTCCTCTGGGTGAGTGGATATTTTCATGAATGATAATCAGGTCTTTGGTGTCGGAGATTTTTCTAGCTTCGTGTGTTGTTTCGTGGACGTATGCGTAATAACTGGTGAATTATGATTAAAGATCGATGGGATAGTTTTTGGCTCTTATGTCATTTCTTTAACCCCTCGTCATCTCTATGATCTTCGTCTACCACATTGTCTAACGCAACTGGGGATTTCACCAACAGGTTTTCGTTTGCCTCACTGCCTTTTTCGTGTGCCAGACAGCACTGCAAGCGTGTTCTCGTACAGTGTACGCCTTCAGTCGCGATCACGGTATGTGCACTTTGTAGCTTTTCTTTCCCCATGCCAGCCCTTCGTCATGGCAGTGCTCGTCATAAGCCACTTACTCTGCTCCATAGGCCTCCCAGATAACGGCTACTTTGGCCACGTCGCCAAACAGACGCACACTCCCCTTCGCGCAATATGGCTCACGACGATCCTCTCTATCTTACCTGGCTTGCTCGACTTGGCTTCACCTGTGGCTGCTGATGCGATATTCGCGCTCACGGCTATGGCGCTTGATTTGAGCTATATTATTCCCATATTCTTGTACGTTGAATGGTTTTTCTGATGCATATTTCTCTGTCGTTTTCCCTTGTTCTCTTGCAAAAAAAAAGCCCCTCGCATACCCTAATTCACTTTTTGCCTTCCCTTCAGGCGTCGGCTTTACGCGAACCACCCGGAGGTGCATTTCCGTCCAGGACCGTTCTACATGGGTTCCGGATTTCTGGGATGGGCAGCGAATGTGATGTGTATATCGTGGACGCTATTCGTTTGCGTTATATTCTCGCTTCCTAATGTCCTTCCTGTCACGAAGACGAACATGAATTACGCCTCAGTCATAACGGCTGGTGTCGTCATTCTCAGCGGGTGAGTCTTCTCGTCTATACGTTACTATTGCGTAAAAGTAAAAGAAATGTGGCGCTCATGCTGATTTTTATTGTGCATGACAGTGCATGGTATATCGCGAGGTGAGTGCGAGCTTGATTCATGAATCTTCCAGCTCAGGTTTGGCTTCTATTTTTCTTTGTCTAGTGCACACCGACATTACCATGGTCCCACTTCTAATATTTCCCATGACCCGAAACCAATTTCGGGTGCTGGCCTTGGACCAGACGACGACATCCCGAATTTTGAACGAGATGAGGACGACTCTAAAAGTGGCCATGTCCAGACTTACAGTCGAGAACTTGATACTAAGGATGGTGACCTTGGAGCACGCGCAAGTGGGGGTAGGAGTGTGTAAATGCTTGTTGTTGATTTCGGTTAGTTTGTTAGCTATGGGCTGTTTGGTGAAGGGCGCGAAGGGAAGACGGGGACAGTGGGTATATTGAGATAATAGTGTTTTCCCACCGCGATCATTGTGAATCGACCCTGTAGGTCGGTCTACCGGTGCCCTCGTCATTCGATGGGGACCACATATCACGTATTTTGATTTATGTGGTTCCTACTCTCGAGTCAGCTTTCTTTCTTGAATACAATCTGTGTCCAGTCTACCTGTTGTCCAGCGATAGCATTTGGACAGAAGTCCTGGGAAAAGATGTACACTCAGTGAGTCGCGACTTAGCACTGTAACTCAGTACTCAGTAGCAGACAGTGATTTGTAAATTGGATACTCAGGGCAGCTCCGGATCTGGCATATATGTCAGACCCGCAGGCCATGGTATGACGTTGGGAACGAGAGTCTGAGCCAAGGAGTGGGTGCGTGGACTCCGATGTTGACAAACCATGTCCTTTTCATTGCAGCAGTCTGTCAACATCGCATCACGTACGTCCGCATATTTCCGTACTATTCTGATGCTTGTACTCACCATGAACCCGATCAAACTCTCAATACATCAGAGCGACACGCCCTGTTTCCCGTGGATTGTCCACAGACTGTATGGGCAAAGCGGCGGCCTTCTCGTGCGGAAGTTCGTGGAAATACTGGTGCGCCTCAGCCCTTCAGGCTCATCTTTGCTGGATCATCAGACCTCAAGTCTCAGGCCTCATGAGTCGCAGTCGCAGCTAGATCCCGTCGGATCGACGACGGACGCCAACTTGGAAGTGTGCTAGTCTCCGTAAGCTTCCATGGAAGAAGGAAGGGCGATCTCACGCAAGTCCTGCTCACCTCCAACTCATTTTCTTCTATCCTCTGTTGCATAAAATTCAAATGGCAGAAATTGTTCATTTTGTCTCGTCTCATACCAACTAAGGCCTGTCTTGAAGAATGTCCGCAAGGCTTATACCTTTGTACGCTTTAGCTGGAGACCACCCGAGGATGCTAGTGTATGATCAGTGTGTGATGTATGAAGCGGCGAGTCCTCCCCCCTCCCTTGTGTAATACCTGCTAATCTTTGATATCTTCTTGAGATAGATGCCATTATCTACATCCGTATCAGCCGGGACGCTTTCCTCATGCTCGGTTATTTCCAACAACTACCAGCTCCTATTTCGTGATACTGTGCGAAACCCGACCTATCTGCATACCGTGCACTTCCGAATCCTGTCCTCGAGATCACTAATATTATAAGTGTCGCGCACAGTCTCGCACAGTAGTATTATGCTTCGGCTCGGATGCTGAAAGCATATCCGACTAATAACGACGTAGACTATCCCCATTTGCATTGGCTCCGAGCAACGTCAGCGCTAGTGTCATTACTATTCAAGTTTGGCTAGCTGCGATTTTCAAGTAGGGGATAACATTTTTACTAAATGCTGTTCAACATTGTTTTTGCTGTTTCATGGATCTGCTACATTCAGTTCTTTCAGTTCTTTTCAATCACACACCTCGCCTGAATGAAACCATGCCCTGAACCTGTTTGAAATTCTCAACAGCTGTACAAATCACCTTCCCTATGCAACGTCTACACAACATTCAAGGCAAGTGCATTACTAGCGATGAGTGTGTGAGCACTGTCTGGCCCTGGAGCCCATCGTTGATAACGCTCTGATCGGGATGATAATATATTTCAGGTAAAATAAATAGCTTGTCAAGAAGCACCTCCAGGGTCGCCCAGAACTTGAACTTGCGTAGCAGTCCGCTAGCCAATTTCACTGGAACTGAACAAGTTGACTAACACCCAATCGCACCGACAAACCTTGGAATCAATGTCTCATCATTCTGCTTTGGCCGTAGCTTGCCTTGCCAAGCACCTACTAAACGCCACAAGGTTCTTGGGTGAGTGAGCAGTACTTTGAGTACCACTTACTTGGGAATATCACATCTCTTTTGGGGTACTTTGGATTGCCAAGCACCTAGTAATCGGCCCACTGGAGCTCAAGAGTCTCAATCCTATCTTACTCGCGTGAGTGGAACCTGAGTCGATGAAACCCTCTAACGCTCTCCTGGTACTGATAAACTAGACACATCCTTAAATTAAGCAACTGAATTACGTTGATACTTGAGCCAAGACATCTCGCGTAATGAAAGTTAGGTTCTATCTTCAAGCCAAGTTCACCGGTTCATATGCATATTTCCAATGTAAAAGAGAACAGAGCGATGGGTTTCGCAAAGGGAGATAGATGACAGCATTAGCGTTCAAAACCTGATTAGAGGATGGTATATCGATTACACAGACCTCTACAAATTGCGTAATATCATTAGCATTACGATACGAAAACGTTATAGGCAATGAACATACCCAGTAAGTAGCTAGATATCAATCTCTTTATATTTGATACGGCCACGATACACAGCAGGCAAGCCATGACCTAACGTCCTCACCTCATGGCGCGGCTCGAGTCAAGTATCCGATGGCACCATTTACAGTGCTGTATATCTTCTGATAGATTACCTCGCTTACACGCTTCCCATCCCCACCGCCCGATCCGATATGGCCCCATTGACATGGAAGTAAAAACGAAAAAAGCTCAAATAACTCACACTCACGGGAGAAGATGCCAAACAAGGAAATTGCAAGCCGCTGACAGTGGTAGGTCCGCTAGGCGCAGATGGAACATGTAAGCGAAAAGGTCACGAAGTGAAGAAAGCAGAACCGAAACTCGTGGTGCAAGGAGAACTTGAAGAACTGAAAGTATCCTTTAAGCTTGTACCTGGTAAAGGACATCTCAACCGGTGGAGTCAGGGGACAAGAGCTCCGGCCCGGACAAACATGGGCGTCAGGGGTATAGTGACTGAGAACGCTGGGGATGCATGTGTTGACGCTCAGCACAACTCCTGACCTCGAGCTTCAGGGCAGAGGCTACTTTGAGCATTGTAGTTAACACAGGAGATTGTGAAACACCGTCAAGCAATCTTTCTTGTACTCGTCGTAACCACACTCAGAACGGTGTTATCTGAGCCGCATCAAAATCCTCATCAAGCTGGTCCAGGTTAGTCCAGGTTCTTGGATGGGACACTTGTTTGGTGAGGAGTTGATCGTCGGAGCTGGTGTGAAGACGTGACAGTGCTGGAGAAAAAGCGATACCCAAGCAGATACTAAAGAATCAGATCTGACAAAAGAAGTCCATTGTACCGAACGTTCATTCCGCTTAAGCGAGGATAAGCACGCCACGTGTAGAAATCAGCAGACCAGAAAGATGCTCGAATATCCATCTGCGGATACCAGAATTCATCTTTCATCTTCAACCAAAGAGCCAGAAACGACGATGCACTCACATTCACAATGAATCCGCTATAAGGAGAACCGGAGTTGATTGTCCACCGCGAAGCGCCACTGAGTAACCTTGAGTCCAGAGCAATGCAAATCGAGGTACTCCTCGAGACGTGTAAAAGCAGATGAGCGAAGCCTTCTTGCTTGGGAATATTTGAGAGTTCTGCCCTTCAGGAACAAGCCATACGCTATGATCGCGATCAGACCAAAGTTTCCTGTGACAGATTTATATTTAGACATTGTCAATCACATCTGTCATAACGATCGCAAGAGAGATACGTAGACATAATTGCCAACCAATGGCATCAATCGCGCAAGCACGATGTTCCAGGGTTAAGCGTCCGTGTCGCCAGTCGCGCGACTGGCAAATCTTTCGAAGAATGTTCCACGGAGATATGTGGGCCAGGAACAAGAATACGATGCCCGGTAGCTGCGGGTAAGGCTGCAAAAACTGAATACGAGGTCCAGAGTACGTTCGATGACTCCCTGTATACGAAGTGCGTCTTTGGGTCTTTGATAGAAGAAGGTATCATGACACATTACGGGAATCAGCTGGAAGCATGGGGAAGCACGAAAATAGTAAGGAAAAAGGCAGAAAGTAGGAGAAAATGCGGCGAAAAAGGACTAGAGAAAAGACTAGGGAGAGTCTTTGCAGTCCGGCGGGAGCCAAGGATGCAAAATGAATTGATTGAGAAAATACGAATAGGGTAGATAACAAAGAAGACATGCCGCAAAGAAGAGCGCTCAGGTAATAAGGAGTCAATATATCAGAGGTATGGTGCCATGAGTGGGATGACGAAATGACAGGGAGGATACTTACGGGTGAGATGTTGCCGGAAAACAGAAAACGACCGGAAGACGAATTTACAAGCTCACGACGAGTAAGTTTAGTGACTGAATTCGGTGTTCGGGAATTGGAAAGCACCTATGCACTGAGTTCGAAAACAGTAAGAACTTACGCAAAGATCATATCCGAAAGCATGTTGGTCGGATCCGGGTAAGCAGGAACTTGGCAGGATAATAAGTAAACACGTTTGAGGGGACTATGCATGGATGGTGTTGACGCGGTGAGTTAGCAGAACACTGCCGCATCGCAAGCTGTGGTCGTGAGTAAAAGAAGAGATTTACGTTGGAATCGGTTCAAGTGAACAAAGGAGAACATAGAGTGGGACCTGAGGGATGCATTGGACTGACAAAGGAGAGATGCATAAAGAATAGCGGTGAAAGAGAAGAGAAAGGAGAGTGCATGAATCCGCCACTGCAATGTTCTGTCTCTTCAGCCACAGAGCGGCCACTGTGACCGGTGTGACGCGGCAGCACCGGCGAGCACCGGGAGACTGCCATATAGGGAGAGATGGCGGTGATCGCTAGAGGTGGCTCCGGGATCATTCCGGGTTTGATCTGAAAAAAACGACCAAACGAGTGGCAAAGTTGTCTTAATACTCCTTCAATCCCATTCCTCGTCTATAAAGCCTTCGTTCCCAATGCTCGTCTTCTGCTAACCTCTCCTCCGCTCGTCGTCGTCCTTGACGTCCCCGACGCACTTCCCTCTTACCATACACCTCCAGTATGTATACCCCCTCGTCGTCTTCCCAGCCCCGCCCCATCCTCAAGCGCTCCCAGTGCGCTCCCCCTGCCCACCATCGCTCTCTCTCTGCCGATAAACTTGTTCACTTCCCGCCCTCCCCCACCCTCACCCGCACGTTCTCTGCCCACTCATCCACCGCATACGACAGGTCTCCTATTGTCGTTACCCCCAATTCGTGCGCGTTGCCAGAGCGTGGATGTCCAGGGCGCACATACACCCTTGAGGAGGAACGCTCTTCTTCTCCCATCCTCATGAAGAAGAAAGTGTCCAATAACGGTATTCATCTTCACCCCCGTGCCGTCCCTCCTCAACAGGATCCTTACGTTCGCCCATCGCATCTTCATTACCACCAAAACAATGCCGACGATGATTTCGAGCGTTCTCCTCGTTCCTCATCATCCCTCCCGCCCTTAATTCCCGACCTGTCTTCCTCAGAGTCGGACGAGAGTGATGGCTTCATCAGCCCTCCCCCTGAAGCATACCACCCCTCTCTTGTGCCTGCTCCGTCAATACCAAAGCCCCGCTCTCGCGGGGCTTCCATCATGTCCTCTGTCGCCAGCATGTCGGAGCAAGGCACTCCAAGTACTCCTACGCCTCTCTCCTTTTTGCCCCACCCTCCCTCGCCCGACGATGCTCACAAATCTCGTCGTCGCAGGCAGCGGGATCGGTCACGCGAACGTGAGCGCGAAAGAGACAGTAAATACGACGTGCATGCTCATGAGGACAGGAAGAGCAGAGCGTCCTACAAGCCGCTTGGGTTGTATCAAGGTTTCTCAGCTTGCTCTATTGATGATTCGGCCGGTTGTTTGGGAGGGTTCTGATATGTATATATGATCTCACCATGGACATTGTGCATATTCTTTCATATAGATGAGCGGTTACGGTACGCAGCTAAAGCACTCGATTGATATTGTCGTTTTGCTTGTTACCCTTAATACGATGTTTAGGTTCTTATCTGTTGTATTAGTTGACATAAGAATTTGCTTCACGTTAATTTTATCCGATTTTTTATGATTTTGGCTGTCTGCAGTGTTTTATTGTCGCGGGACTATTGGGAGTTCGTCTTGATTGATCAGTTACTTTGCTCCTAATCACTGCAGTGGTGTATGTAAGCGTCACGTCATTTCCCATGCCATTCATTCACTGACCCAGAAGAGCTAGTGCGTGGTGCTCGTGTTCGGCCGTCGCTGTTTCAGTACGCCGGGATGGGAAACACATTGGAACAAGTTCAGGCCCTTTCCTGGGATTGTGTTCTCTTTTGAGGTGAGCACTGGTCTTGATCCGATCTCTAGTCATGTTTCACCAGGTAACGATCATTCTCATCTCGTTGTATCTCCCCAACTTATGCCAGGTATACAGCTTGCTGTGTGGAAACCATGCCACTCGCATGCACAGGCAACGTACCTCCACTGGCACGAGACCGCGTTTTTACTGAGCTTTTTTCCCAGTTCAGTTCTAGTGGGCCCATGAATAATAACGTCGGGCCGTCGGGCCTCCGCAGGAAACTGACGCTGGTCACATTCAACTTCAGTTTCGAGGATAATATAACATCAACGTTTGGATTGGAACCAGTCACACGAATTCTAGTGCACCGTGCATCCACAGCATGTCGTTAACGCCCAGGTCTTTCAAGCTGAACACAGGGGCAAGCATTCCAGTGATCGGTAAACTTTAGAGCGCCTCAAAAAGCGCCTGCTTACTTATCTACCGTTAACACATAGGGTTTGGTGCGTGGGCCGGAAGAGATCCTGCCATTCAGGCAAAGGCGACCTCATGGATATTCGCCGCTATTCAAGCCGGATACAGACATCTAGACACAGCATGGATATATGGTGTGCATATTTTCGGATTACGGAACTCGCGTTAAGGAAGACATGCAGGTACGGAGAAGCCTGTAGGTGACGCCATAAAGGCCTCTGGGGTACCTCGCGAAAAGCTGTTCGTCACAACCAAACTTCCGTGAGTTTAACAGACACGTGTGGCCCCTCTGTCGTCAGTTATCAACGTCTCTAGATGGAATCATACAAAACGTGTGCAATGGTCAATAGACCAGAGTCTCAAGAACGCAAACCTAGACTATTTTGATCTGGTAAGTGCATAAACCTCGGGCGAGACTCAAACGGTGTGCTTCGTCTATTGTATTGTGCTGAATATCCTGTACGGATATATCCAGTATTTGATGCACTGGCCGCACTGTGTAGTTCATGATGGTGTGTGTGCACGCGCATTCTAATTTTAGCCCCACCAATGTTGCTGAATACCGTTTTCTTTTTGCTACGGCAGAAAAAGAACCACGCCCTCGCGATCCAGATGGTCAGCTATTACTTGACGACACTGGTAATTTTAACGAGACCTGGGCCGAAATGGAGAAGGTTCTCGCCAGTGGTAAGGTGAAAGCTATCGGCGTCAGCAATTTTTCTATCAAGACGTGAGGCAAACTATCATCTAATGTATGGCACAGTTCTATTGTTAATTATTATTCTATCCCTACACATCAATAGATTGGAACAACTTCTGACAACTGCATCTATCCTTCCAGCTGCTAACCAAGTTGAGTAAGTGCACGATAGATGACTTCAAGCTGCGTGTTGCGTTTGAAACCATCACATTCGACAGGATGCATCCCTATCTTGCACAGAACGACCTCCTAGCTTTCTGTAGGGAAAGAGGAATCCTGGTTACAGCTTACGCTCCCACCGGTACGATTATTTGTTGTGTGTAGTTGATACACATTTATAGTTCCTGCCCAGGGTACACGGTTGTGCGCGAAGATACGACAATTGCAGAGATTGCAGTTAAATATGGGGCAACTCCCACACAAATCATCCTTTCGTGGCACGTAGGTCGTGGAACAGTCGTCATTCCAAAGAGTGAGAATATTGAACGGCAGAAGGAAAACCTCGGGGTGTGTCACATCCCAATATCCATCTTTTCTCACTGTCTAATACCAGGCATTAGATCCTTGTCTTACAGCCAGAAGATACTCAGCGAATAGATGATCTTGACAGGAACCAAAGGGTATGCAATAAACCAGATGAAGTAGGAAAGGTATGGGGGTGGACAATGGACCGACTTGGGTGGTAAATGTGAGATAAACATTAATTATCTATGAATGGCTAAGATTGATATGGAGAATTGTGATTAAATGCAGAACGCCGACCGCATATAATCAGGATTATGGCCAGATCATTCAGTTCATTGAGTAAACATTGTTATATTGTTACATTTATCACAAAATGGTTTCGGTTTCTTCGGGAATAGTATGCAATGGGGGACAGATACATAGAACTATATAGCAACATTATGTCGTTTCGGAATGGCTGCTCTGAATATTTCAAAGAGATTCTCCCAATATGATAGCGAGCGGATTACTCATGCCAGAAATATCTCTATCGAGAATGTGGTTTTAATATTGATTAGTAACAGAGATTTCGGAGGGCGGTATGTGGGGCAAAGGAGGGCCATTCGCGTCGGACGCCTGCACTGGCACTTGACTATATGGATCAGATTTTTGATAGCGGGTCCGTGGCTATTGAAAAGACAGCATTCTGGAGAAACTTAGATCGTCAATGCTATCTTTGGTCACGATCCCTCAACCACGCCCTGATCCATTCTACGATGCGAGCTACATTGGATTCCATGTCTTCTGTAGACTCGCTCTTGAGTTCCACGATGATTTCTTTGGCATACGATGCGCGCGCTTCCTCGAGAACCATCTCCATGATCTCCGCCTCGTTATTCTCTTGGATTTTCTTGAGGGAATAGCCACTAAGTAAATGAGTGTTACTTGGAACTGATGCTTCTGTAAGGACGAGATATAGCACGTACCGTTTTTCTAGTCGCTCCCATAGTTGAGTATGATTACATTGAAGAACAACAACGAGATCAGCCCATCTCTCTGGGAAGACTTCACAACTGTGCCAATCAAGGATGATTCCACCTGATGTAACCAGTGGCTCTAATTCATCGAGTAGCTGTCGATGAAAATATGTATTAGGTCTTCATAATATCGGTAAACATCGGAATGGTAATCCTCACTTTGTCCTCGTCTACGGTATAGCTTTGCCAATCATCATCGTAATCCTCGTAGAGGCCATTGTCTTTTACTAACTGGCCCACATTTATATGTTTCATTGTTATGGGCGCTTCCTCTGAAAGAAGCTGCGCATGAGTAGTCTTTCCAGTACCAGGGGTTCCAGTTATGACGATCACAGGTGCTTGCCTGCTTGGTGAGTCTGAAGCCATGTTGTTGATCAACTAATAGGAATATTTTGAGGAATACTTCTGAGACGAGCCAGACTTATTGGGAAGGCGCGGAATAAACCGCGCTGAAGCCACTTCCCAAACAAACATCTGGCTCGAGACTCACACCCACAAAATTACCGTGACATGGGTGTATCCCAAGTCTACCTCTCATAAATCTTTGCTATCTTTTTCCACTTTGAGGGTGTGGATGTCCGTTTTTTGACTTCCAGTATCGGTTTCATTTGATAGTACTCTTTCAATTCAATGCAACGTACTTCTTTGAGTTTACCGAGTCATAATTAATTTGGACCCACTGGCGGATTGCACGCGACAGTTTATCAAATCTGGTTACCTCCCAAGTTCAAGTAATTGTTACGGTTCAAGTCATGTTGTTGGGCTAAAGCTTGCAGCCATTGTTCTTCGACAAGACTTACGTCAGGGTGTTCGTAACCGCCATGAATCAAATACAATGGGGCCTTGTTTCAATAAACACCAGTCATGTCTCTACTAGTATCTTCCCAGTTTTTCATATATGCATTTGTCGCTCCTTCCCTTTCACCCATCTACTTCGACTTGATTTCCTCTGTCCCGGATATTTGTACGCTATCACGGTGCTGGTACACCCTTCGATCATCTCTAGGCTATCACTACTCAATCATTTCTCGTTATCTGGAGCCTCTGCGAGGACCTGCTCAAATTACATCTAATGCTTCCTCCTCGTGCCTGTGAGCTCCCCGTTTACAATGTAGTTTTGCAATGACCCAGTAATGGCCATTCAGATGTTTTCATTGGTCTCAATGCTCTGCGTATCCTCAGCATCATTGCTCTACTACTGGTTTTCTCCAGTAGTATTGTTGTAATGGTTCATGACATTGAAGCGGTCAATCGATACGTGGCAGAATCAAGCAACGGTACCGAACCTATAGAATATGGTGATTACGACTACATTCCGTGAGCACCAACGAACTCGTGTATATAACATTCTATTCACATACCTTTCTTCCAATATTTCAGAAACAGTACCGTTCCAAATCAACCAGCAGGGGCCTTTTGGGCAGTCCTCAATCGATTGCTAATTATTGGCCAAGTGGTGGTTTTGATTTTGTCGGAACTCGGTACGATTCTCTCCAACAATTCGCCAGTTCACTTCTCTTACACTCATGGCAGGGTGGCCATCTTCTTTTTTTATACGGTTCTTCCCCGTCCTTGGAAGAGACTTTGGAGTCGGTGCTTTGGGAGTGATTCAATGCTTGTAATGTCCTTGCGTCATTTTGCGTCTGGCTTTGTTCACCATTCGCTTCAGAATCGGTGCCTCCGTCCTTTCTCATTTTATCGATGGATTTGCGCTTGTTTCAGCATTTTTCTTGTTTTCCATCGGGTGCCTCAACATACTAGGTGGTCTCATATTTCGAGAGTCATCCAGGGCTAAACGTTCGATCACATCATGGCGTGAGAGATCAAAGAATGTCTTTGCGTCACCCATCGGAGCCTTAGGTCGTCCTATCGCCACGATTTCTTCCATGTTTGATTCCAAAGAAAAATCATCGAACCGTTGTCCAACTTCACCACCCTCATTTACTGCCAAGGTGGGACACGGATTTGGGAGCATAGCTGGAAAAGCTGCCGCCAGCCAAGGTGCGTATTCAAGCAGAATTCATTATACCCATATTTAATAGATTATGATATAGGGTTCGTAATAAACAGGCCTGTCGAGTCCTTCCCTCGGCATTGAATCGAGCCAGTACCATGATCAAGCAAAGCATAATCTAGTTGTATTAGTCCCGTTGTATTTGAAGCACTGATGAATGTCCAATGAATATGCGTAAATCAGCTTTATCTTGTGTGGTATTCATGCATGATCTTATGTACATGCATCAATTCGTCCATATTTATCCTGAGATGAAGATATTTTTAAGATGTTCACGGTATGGTATGAGCATAGTACTTCTCAATTTGACAGCCAGTACAATTACATATCTTCGAGCAATATTTAGATAACAACCAGATCATCCTCCAAGTTATTCTAGCACCCCATACAAGTCACAGTGTTGAACTTTTACTGCAATTGAGAAATTCACCGTCCGAATATGAGCTGTGTCATCAGTCGCCTACTGGTCTTGCAACAACCGTGCACACCCCACTCTATACCAAGGCCGAAGATAACCCACGCTATAACAATTACCACCAAGCTAGCGATCACAGAGCCCCAGCGCGTATACAAGGATAGGCTCGAATCGATCGGGCTTTTAAGGCTATGCTCCAAAAGCTGCAGCCGAAGTATTCTGTCCTCCGGTGAGGTCTCCACAATCTCGACGTTCTCTTTCAGGGTATCACTAATACTGCTGGTGCTGCGGTTACAACGCCACAGAAGTTCAATTTCTGACCCTAATCTTCGTGGACGAATCTGTGACAGCCGTGCCGCAGGCAGAATTTGCTTCCCGTAAGTTGTGTAACATGCGAGTAGCAGAGCACCGGATACCAATACGGAAACAAAAGCGTAAACGAGCCATAGAGTCACCGAACTCGCAAGAGACGCGGTGGGAGAAAGGTCCTGAATTTTGCCTGCGGCTGTGACAATGATCACAACAGAAGCTTGGACAACGGACTCTGGAACACGACAAGCGATAAGCTGTGGAGTGAATTAATGGTTCGAGGACTCACTTTTAATAGCGAATCTAAAAAAGAGGTAAAACATCAGCCATGGAGGCCAAAGGAAATAGACTATGCTCACGCTGTGGCATAGAAACGAGGATCTGGAATAATGTTGCGAATGATTTCTACTTGAGGTGCCGGTGTAATACTCTGCAGCCAGAAGATTATATCGTCCAAGAGCAAACGACATATTATCTACGTACCTGAGATATAGCGTAGAGTACATAAGCACAAACTGTACCGAACATCTTCATACTCAGCTTCAATTGGACATTACTAATGTTAAGAGTCACGTACCAAATGCCGGAACACTGACAGAGAATTTGAGCAGAAGCATCGACAGCAAAAATGCTAGGCCTGACAAAAACACTACAGAGTTATTATGGGAGGATTTTTTACGTGGTTCAGTGTCAGTCGTTAAGATATAAGGAAATTAAACGAACAGATCGATATTCGGTGCCCAAACCTGTCGATAAAGATACCCAAGAAAGGAGTTATGCCCACCGGCAAGAGAAGGTAAAAGCTCGATACCCAGCCACCAACCACAGCCCCCTTTTTTAGCCTTTGTTGTGCGAACTGCCTGGAATATCAGAATAGTCCAACAGTAAATGAGGTGAAACCGAGGCTCTCGAAATAAATAAATACGGACGTAGATATCGACAAGAAAGACTGCATGCCCGAGTTTTCAAAGACGGAAAAGAGGACGACAATCCAAAACGTAAGTGGAAGGTGTCGTACCGCCGCAATCCTAATGGCCGTCGATTTTACGGTCCTAGCGTCTGTATTCTGCTTTCTGTTACGAGCAGTTTGGTCTATGACATTATACTGCGACTGTAAGTATCGATCCAAGAGGAACACAGCTATTGCACATAGAAAGGAGAAGAGGCTAATGGCAGAACTGATCCAAAGTGGCCATGCAAAAGATCCTAGTTTTTTTGAAATCACATTTGCCGTGCTTTGTCCTACAAATTGAGCCAAATTTGCCATTGACCTTGAGGCAAAGTTTCAATACATAAATAAACGTATTGGTGGTTGATTTGGGCCTACCAGATCATTCCTTCATGGGGAAGAAGAAGGTAATAAATGTAATGCATGGGAGGATCAGAATCTGGTTAGTGAGATTGGATTTTTGATTGGTGTATTATTTCCTCACCAATTGAAAATGCAAGTCCCTTCCCGGGAGCGAAGTAGGTTGCAAAAATCCTATGTTGGGCGTTGTCTAGCGAACCATCGCCAATTGCGGCGATGACTTTGCCGGCGATCAGAACATTGTAGCTATTCAGATGGTTGGTTGCTGAGCCTGCCTCTATCAAAGCTCCTGCCAAGTGACAAAATGCCAATATAACTGTCAGCAGCGGACCGCCAAATCTGTCTATGACAAATCCAAAACCGATACAGAGAAAAGTATTGATCTGGAATCAGGGTAAGACCATAAACTTCGAAGTAGTAGATGCTGAGGTCCTCACAAGATTAGTAACAGATACCTGAATGCACCAGATAATTGTGAGCTCTTAGTTAGTGTATGACAAATAAATGGAACGTACCAAAGCAGCAAACTTGGAGTTATTGATATCTAGATTCTTTTCAATTGTCGTTTTGAGGGCACTAGGTATCGCCTGAGCTAGTAAGGAAGTTTTGAAAATGGAATAGCCTACGCGATTAGACCCTGGTAATCAGAAAAGAATATGAGACTAGTATTTTAAATGACAGGTGGCATAGCACATACATTTGACCAATGGTTTCCAACTAATCAATCGCGAATTTTAGTACCTTCTAAGGTAATACTTTTGTGGAAGGATTGACTCACAGGTACACATGCATGTGAGCACAATCATGGTAACCTGCCAGGCGAGAGGAAGATTTGGCCTGGGGGGTCCAGCCAGAGGATGTGCATGGGAAAAAGATTGGCCAGAGCAGTCTTCAAGGTCAAGGGACTTTTTTTTCTCGCTCTGTTCTGGCTTCATATCATCAATAGTAAGTACGATATTTGACAATGTAGAGGATAAGTCACAACAATGTGAAGGGGCTGCTAAGAGCAGCTAGAGCAAGATTGTGCAACCCTCGTCTACTTATAGTGTCTAGTTATATGATTAATATGGTGGTACAAAAAAAAAGGGAACGTCGATACCTAAGACAGGAGCAGATGGGAGACTTGGTCCTTCAACCGCCTATTCGGTAAACATGACCAAGGCTGATCAGCCCATCATTCGCAAGTATTGATATAAAAAATATGACAACGTTATGAGATGTCAGTTTCAGGATTGCTTGGAAAACAGGCCCAGTAACATCACATGGCACGTTGTTTATCAAGGAATCTGGTCGGAAAAGTTAGAGAAGCTACTAGTACAGAGCTTGTCACTGTGACATGTGGATCTTGTCTAGAGTTGGTGAATCCCATCTAGATAGATGCGAGATTATGGAAGAGGCCACCTCAAACGGAGACAAGAAAACAACCGAGCGTTATAGTCGTTCCCATATCCACGGCAATGTCATCTTATCTGATAAATATGGTAGATCCGCAACCCCAAAAAGCCAGCCAGACAAAGAAGTGTGCTAGTTCTAGATTCCAGCTGCTATAAGTAGCAGAGAAGGGAGGATCGCAAACAACAGGCCCCACTCAATCCCCTCCGTTGGGTTTTCAGTCTACTTGTGGCACTCAAACTGCTGCGACCTTAGTCACCGCGATGACAAGCAGTAACATCGACATGTGCACCAGATACGATATGTTGAAGAATAAATTCAAGACATTAGGCTTGAGCTTTCATGCATACAAATCCTAAAATAATAAGCCCGATAGGTGAGCATCGACATGCCTGAGCAGCGAAAACCTTGCAAAGCTTGAGCCCAAGTGCATCACACGTCAAACAACGAACATGCAAACTTGGCATATTACAGCATTACAGGCTCACAGGAGACGAACACATGACTTATCGTTCCATACCTTTAGTGACCCGGTGTTTCACTGCGAGATCACATGTACACGACCCGGACACTACACACGCCCGATGTCGAACGTCCCCCCAGAAGTTATCGATATCATCTTGAATATTATCTTGAAGAATCAAGGTGGTTTCAGGCAAAATAACAAAGTGCCTCTCATAAATATAATGTCCCAAGATACACGTACATACGGATTTAATATGTGGGGTAGCAAGGATTGAGACCGAAGGATCTGAAGGTATACAATGACAAGGATTGGTGGCAAGCGAACATATTCAAGCTTTCGAAGGTATAGGCGGGACGGGTGGCTGCTGGGCTTGCCTAGGACGCTGAGATCTTCGAAGCTGGTTAGCCTGTGCTCTTTCTTGTTCGGCTTGCATGGCGGTCATAATCTGTAACTGCTGGGCTATGAATTCCTGGGTGTTGGCCCTATGTAATTGCAGTAAGCACAAAATGATCATAATCTCGAATATTTTGCCACTACCTCATACGAAGAATTCGCATAATAGTCTCCCCATTCGAAACTTCCTTTTCTTGCTTCTTCTCTTTCTTACGTTCCTTGATTGTGCCCAGGTTGCGTTGATTATATACGCTCTTCACCCTCTTCTTAACGGGGACTGTTTCGCGTAGACTCTGTTGCATCATACGTACGCACTCCTCCATGAGAGCATCCCTACAACAAAGAATCTTAAGACACTCGTAATTACAGGCAAGGAGTGGATCTCACGTATGCCAGTCATAGTAAAGTCGGATCGAGACCACGTCACGATATTTCTGATTTTGCAAAGCCTCTAAAGGAACTGGTCCTTCCCCGCCAGCATAGAAGTAATCTCGCAAGAACTAAATGAGGAAATATTATGCGGAGAACAACACATGGGAAAGAATTCGTATAATTCGTACCTTCAGCCACTTAAACACGATATCAACTTCTTTATCACTCAAAGGTTTCATATCGCTGGAAACGTCTGATAACGGAGGGATCAACAAGCCTTCAACCACTGCCAATATCTCCTTCCAAACTCGTGTCATGACCATCTCCTTTGCGGTGTCGCTAAGATATGTGTTTAGCGTTTGCAGATTAGCATCAAAATAATCGAATAGAGGCACGATGGCGCGCTCGATTTCTACATCCGTTAAAGCCTCAGGCCTTACGCGGGACTGCTCCGAGCTGGGTAACGGTATCTGTATCTCATTAGAATTTGATCCGAGCGCAGAGCGATAGAGAGCAGTGACGTTGCCCAGCGCCTTGTTGTAATCAAGCCCAAGAGTCCCAGCTTTAATGAGGGTCTTCAGCACATTCCGCGATATAGATTGGCGTATGAATGGGGCCATCTGGGAACAATGGTCAGTCCAAATTTTAGCGAGGACAGTATAGAATGAAAATTGCCTTGTCGATGAAAATGCGAATCATGTCACCCTCGCTTCTTTTCAAAGATCTGAATGCACGACCAAAAAAGAATTGGATATCATCTTTCTCTCCTTCCATGCTAACACGCAGTAATATGCGACCTTGGCTATCAAGATTTATCCATAGATCGTGGGTCAAGAAATCTCCAAAACGCCCGGGATCCAGGCAGATATAGCCTCTGCCTACTGTGTCATGTTTCCCGACTAGCGCACGGTCCCGGACGCTAGCCATGAGCCAGAGTGGCTTCTCGACAGAGATGTCAAACGTTTCGTCCCCTAAAAGACAGACCGATAATTCAAGAACCAGTTTATATATGAAAGCGAGAGCTTACATCTTGGATTTAATGTCTCATATATAGTGCGAGTTTTGGCTAGGCGATTACCCGCTTCGTCACTAAGTGTGATGAAAGTATCCAAAAACGATGATGGGCTGCTGTCCAGGGGCACCAAACCCTCTGCAAGAACGATTTTAACAGCGAATAAGAAGCGCGGCCGCTCCGCCTTATCTGGAACGGGAGGACCATGGTTCTCAAGCGTTTCAGTTATCTTGTCTGCCTGCATCTGATTATACATATTATCCAGTAATTTGCGAGCGGCTTCAACATTGTTCAGCTTGACACACGACTCAGGACGGAAGTTGAATGGTTCCACTTTTTTCTCGCCAGGAGTTGCTAGCTGCTTGGCTTTTTCAAGCCAGGCTGAAGATTTTTGGGGCTGAAGATAATCCGTCGGTCGGGGGAACATTTCCGTCATGAACAGTTCCTCCACGCTTCGACAGTATTGTTCCACTGCTTTGGAGATGGTCTGAAATATCATCAAAACATGAGCGCATTCATCAAGTCAGTAAGCTTTGCCACACCTTTGCCAAACTTGTGAAAAATCTAGCCTCCTGATAGTCATCACTCCACTCTAAATCTTGTAAGAAGTTGATGGGGCTGCGGAGAGAATCAAAAAGGTCCACAATGGATGAACTATGCCCTTCGGTATTTTCAGCTTCGAACTTGGAATGGATCAAAAGTAAGCCACAATTCGGTTCACCATTGAACAAGTGTACCTTATCTGCGGCGATGGCCTATTTATAACAACGTTAGCTGTCTGAAGGGATGGATGGTAAGTGTTTGCAACTCACAGCCTGAACCCAGTGACTAGTCTTATTATCGGTATCCAGCAGCCATTGGCGAACATAGGGCTCAAAAAATACGCCAAGTCCAAAATCTACGTGTCCTCTTGCGAAACATGTAATGAACTCAAGAGTATTCGTATATGCACGGAAACTTACTTGGGGCAAAATGCTTCATACATCGACAAGAGTGTTCTTGATCTGCGGTACAACGTAAAAATATCCTGTATGGGGACATCAGGAGTAGGGCCATTCATCGATGATTCGAATAAACGTTTTGAAGAGTTCTGAAGGTCAGCAACAAACAATGGAATCTGCACATCTACCACCAGAGAGACAAGATCAATTTGTCTGTGTGAGAACGATGAGAACCTTGCATATCCACGTCTAGCATCGGCACATACCCAATTATAGGCTCTGGGAAGCGTTTGTCGAGTTGCTTTGCCGCCTTCTCCAACTCGTCCGTCATCAGCAAAAGGGGCAGTGCGCGGTTAACACCAGGTGCTGCCTGCAGTTCGTGCATCTTCTCCTCGTAATAGTGTGCAGAAACCACTTTGATCCGTTCTTGTACGTCGGCGATGCGAGAAGCGATATCATCGTCGAAGCGCTCTATTAAGCCGCTCTCCCGTATATGTTCCAATGTAGACAAATACGGGTCTACTTCTGATCGCTTGATATTAGGTACTGCATCCATCGAGTGGTACAGTGAAGAGAGAAAGATATTGTAGAGAGTACCATAAATGCTTGCCAAATATTCGGACTAATTGCAATGTGAATAGTGAACAGCACCAAGGAGATCAGTGACGTACGTCTTGAATGGACCATTTTTCGATTTCCGTGTCCTGTACTGCTTTGGAAATAGCCTGCAGGGCTTCAGGCACACACTCCATCGGAACTTCGCTCCGCTCATAGAACTCTTTGATGAGATCCAGGAAACAGGCTGCGCGGTATGGCTGGCCTATTCGCCACCGCAACGCACACTCATTAATGAGTTCTACGTGTGGGGCACTAAGAATGCTCAAGGGCACTTCATCGGCATCATCAACCTCAGGACTGGTCATTACCTCCAGATCAGCAATGAGACAGTATTCCACTAGACGCTTATAGAACTTCTTGGGATTCGGGGGAATGTAAGTGAAATGGTGTCCCACCGGGACCTCGTCGTCCCCACCAAATTCTTCATTCACCGTCTCTGGGACACCGTCGGGGTTACTGCTGCTACCAAAAAACGACCGCCTGCTGCTTATGGATGCATGACGAGAGGCAGCTCCTGGAGACTCTATGCGAGGAGAATGGATGGATCCTGGTCTACCGCTAGACGTTGAGACCGAGGGTAAAGCATCAGACGGGGTGGACTTCGCCAATTCTGGATTGAGGGACACTAGTTCCAGCATCAGTTGGGACAAGTGCGATGTCTCTAAAGATCGCCAATGGTTCCATGCGCTATCATTATCAAAGTCCTCTCTGCGACCCGGAAACGGTGCACCGGCGTTGATGTTTTTCGAGCACGTCTATTGGTACATAAAAAGATAAGCAGATCGTTGAATCAAGTATCTATGCATTACTTACTTTCAGATCTGTGAGAGCGGCCTTACAAACGAAATTAGTGTTGCGAGTGATAACCAGTAATAGTACCTCACCTTTTCTGTACAAAACTTCCTCATCCGATCGACTTCACCTTGCATGGCGGTCTCTGGAATCTTAAAAAGTTGAGCGACCACCATAACGACAGACATGTCTATAGTATTCATGCTGATCCCTGGTGGGCCATTGAGAGAATCACGATCCCGGGAGATAGAAGCAGAATCGTAACCAGAGTCGCTGGGGGTTTGTTGGGGCGCTAACTTGGCCTGATATATATCCAATCTTGAGTTGAGTTCAGGTGAAACATGGCTAACGCCTTTCAAGCAATCGCGAAGCATCTTGACAAACTGCGCAATCTGGTTATTTAGTTCGACTTTCCATCCGTCTCCTGCCAGGGTCGGCTCCTTTTTCAGTACACCGGTGGCATGTGTGGCGAACATCAAGATCAATTCTTCTATTTTCCTGTTTTCCTTCATCTGGCGACGAAAAGCTTCGTTCATGAACTGGCCATAGAATACGGCCATCGTTCTCCGAACCAATTGATCTGAATAACTTTACCTTATGCTCAGTCATAGAAAGATTCCTAAGACGTTAACCACGTACGCTGCTTCCTTTCCCATTGCGATATCTTGCAGCTTTTGCTCCAAAACTTTCAGCAGCTTTTCGGGAAACTTAACACTCTTTGGCCCATCTCTGATATCTTTGAAAATATCGCCGATTGATATGATGGAACTGGATATTGCACCAGATAATTTCAGATAGTGTTCTTTCTCCTTAGACTCTGAGGGGGTAGTGTGGTTATCCTGAACCTTCGGCTGGGTAAGATGATTGAGAATGCTGAGAATGACATTGGCATAAGACTGAGTATAAAGACTCGTGTTCGTATGTGGAAACTTACGCTACACGTAGCACATAGCTATAAATGAGGACGTCAGTGATAATAGATAGAAGACAAAGAACAAATACGAACTCGAATAGCTCATCATCTGTAACGCGGTACTTTGACAGACGCTTCTCGTGGGCAGTACTATCGTAGCTTCGTCTGGACAGAGTGGACATGGATCTCCGTCGGATGAACTTTACAGATCAAGTGTTACGAACAGTCGACAGAGGGCAGAAGAAATAAAATGTGCGAATTGCTGTTATGGCTTGTGCCAAGGTGTCAGAGGCGCGAATACTTAGTATATTGTCAAGCAGCAGCAAATACGGCAACTATCGAAACGCGGCTGTGGGTTATGCGACTATCAACTTACAGTATAGTTATACGTGCGGATAGGGCAGCACTAAAGCATTGCTTTCATACACGACAGACATATTTAAACAGAGACATTTAACATCGTTGCTTCCCTAGTAGAGCAATATTAGGAACCTCGTATTATAGCTCGTCGTGCCCTGGCGTTGGCTGAGGCTTCTCTCCACTCTCTTCCGCTTTCGTGGACGCTGTCTTCTTTACCTTCGCCGGTTTTCTCTTCACCAATCTTTGCAAATGCTGCTCTAGTATTCTCGCCCTTGACTTCATCTCCGATGTGGAAATTACAGGGTCATCGTACATCTTCACCGACTTTTGCTTTTCCACCCACTGGTGTAGCCATGTCTCGTGCTCTTTCAATGCTGTTTCTAGCGCATCCAGTTCCTCTAGCGTCCACTTAGACTGAATGCCAGCCTTGGCTTCTGCAGTAAGGTTGTCTCTTGCTTCCGTTAGGAACAGTCGCGTGCTCCAATTCCACATCTGAGAGTTATTTAGTGCTCGAGGGAACGCCTCGATTTCTTGATATCGGTGAATAATGGGCTTCTCTAACGTCCTATTTCGATGGCAAGATGTGATATGAAGGGAATGAATGTTCAGGTTCAAGAAAAAAAACTTACTCGAGAGCATTGTGCTTCTCCCGAAGCTGCGACGTCTCAGCGTCATCGCCTTCGCTATGTAGCCACGTGATAGTTTCTGATAACTTTTCGGAAATAGCTTTCCTTTCAGATTGTTTTGAGCATTTTTTGAAGGGGGTATCGGGTATCTCGTCGTCCAGAAGATCCCGTACTCGGTATAAATAACCCTCTAAACTATTTCTCGCCTCTTCCCTTCGCAATTTGCCCATCTCTTGATAATCCATGTTTCTTAATCTAGGAGAATATGGTCAGAGCTGATAATTGCTGACTGCCACCCTTCGTACCTATCACGGGCAGCTTTCTTCTCGAGAACAGTCATGGGCGGCATGGATGACAGGTTAACGGTGACGTTCAGAGTAATTGTGCTTAAATCTTTCAGCGATGGCTGCTTCTCCTTCTTCGAATCAGGCGCCGATGTCGAAGCAGGGGTAGGCGTTTCTGCGGGAGGCGACATTATTGAAGAAGAGCCCACCTCAGACGTGGATGTCCCTCCACCAAAAAGGCTTTTCAGTTTACCTGTGCGAATTGGATGACAGAGAAAGATGGATGATTAGTATACATACCAGTAATTGAATCGTCCTTGAGTTCTCCGTAGGCGAATGCCTCCTTGACCGAAATGAAACCAGAATCCGATAATGAAATTACAGCCTTGATGACAGGGTCTGCTGCTCCTCGTTCAGTGAGATCCGCTATGGCCTCACTCACCCCACTTATTTGAGCCTCTAAGATGTCTCTAGGGAGTCCGCTAAAGAATAGCATTGAGACCGATAATTCCAGGCCATTTGGGAGGTACGCACGGTAGAATCGATTTTTTATAATCTAACCAAATTGAAAAATCCTCCTGACGTTTGAAAGTCAACGTCTTTTTGGTACCGTACTTAGAGCCCGAGGGGAATAAAAGTGTACTGATAGTACGTGGACGAGCAGAAGACGATGGAGAAGTGGCGAAATACGAAGCTTGAACATCGTGTGTTGAAATGTCCGAAACTCTGATATCCTTGGTTTTGAATTGCATGCTCAGACTTGCACCATGCAACGCAGCACCTAACGGTATGGATAAGCGGTCTGCCACACGTCAGATGCTCTTGACTTACCCAGTACCACCGCCTCGTCTGCATTTACGTTCAAAGCTATTTTGTCCCTGTGACTTATCAGAACACACATTACATATGTGACATGTCAAACTCACTCTCCGACGGCCTCCTTAACTGCTGTTTGTATCATAGGTGTACGAGAACTTCCTCCCGTTAAAATCACAGATGTGATATTGTTCTATAAGCCTTTCAGTGAAACAGCCATTCGAAAAAAAGATGGGCTACATACAAGAGTTAACCCTGCATCTGCCAACGCATCTCGAATGGGAAGAGCAAATCGACCCTGAAGATCTGAACATGCTTTCTCAAACTGAGCTCGCGTGATTTTGGCCTTAAAGTCGATATCGAACGCCAAACTCTCCACCTAGTACGATTGTGAATAAGCATCGTACTCACATTGAGCTGAGTGCGAAATATCTCACTGTCGATGTGGCATCAGTATTGGCACTCAAAATTGCCTTGACCCGTCCAGCTTCCTTCCACAGCTTGACCATGCCTCTCTTGTCGGTGCGAATATCTCGTTTATGCTTGCTCACAAAATTATCTATGAGAATTTCGCGTAATCTGCGATCCAGTTCAGTACCACCCGTGCGTCGATCATATCCGACTCCCAAGGCCGATATCTGTGTTCCGGTGGACTTGGACTTCGTGTCCCCTGTTGGGGTAAATGATACCACTGTGGCGCGAATGGAAGATGCGCCAGCGTCGTATATGACGTGGTATTCTGGAGCCGGAAAGGTACGCGTCATTGCATAATTGACAGCTACAGCTGTCCCGTCGTTTATCAGAGCCAATGTACGGAGTCCTGCGATTTCAACAGCATCGGCAACAGCGTCACGTTCACATTGAGAATAATAGGAAGGAACGGTGATGATGACATCCTGAACCTGTTCCTCCGCGACAGTCTCGGCCAAGTGTTTAACGTATGCTAGCTGCATTGCAATAAGTTCTTCAACACTCCATTCCGTTCCGTCGCTCTGTCGGAGTCCAATGGTGCTACGCGAAGTCTTGAATATATCTGCAGTGGATATGGAGGTAAAGTAAGACATTAAGTCTGCCCCATATGTAACACCCTGCAGATATTTGAGAGAAGAGAATGAATCTGAAGGGAAGCGGGATGCCTTGGAGACCACGTTAGCAGGTACGCTCAGACGAGGCTGTTAGAAGCTCACAATGTTAGATGCGTCTGTCCCAAACAGCCTGTCATCTTTCTTCCACGCAACGGTTGATTGTATCTTTCTTTTAGAATCCTTATTGAGCAAGACATCGAAAGGTATACCCGGTTTCATCAATGAAGCCTTGATCCAGTCGGAGCCATAGTCTATAGCAAGCACGGATGCGAGCGACGACTCAAAAACGGCAAGGAAAATAAGGCAAAGTGATATGAACCGATGGAAACCAAAGGAAAGCATGGTGGGTATCAAAGAGAGAAAAGGCTCAAGAGCATCTACTTGAATGAGTGTAGAATCACAACAGCTTACTGCAAACGTGGACTGTTTGGCGGACACGTCAAGAAAATATAGGGTTAGGGTTGCAACCACGCAAACACATGCAAATTGAACAACGACATTGATAATACAAAGTATGTATACAGTATTATATGCAACGTAGTCATTTCAACTCCGTACCATTACTGGTTCTTCTGAGGCCTGAGGAGAGGAACACATTCCATCCGAAAATACCATATCGCATGCAATCACATACATCCATCTAAGTCTTCCCGAAGCGTGGCTTTTGGCAAGTCGTGTGAGTAATTCCCCTGTAAACTGATTTTAAATGTCTCCCAAAAGTAGAACCACTTTACGGCCGCGAGGCATGCATCTTCGCCAGTGCCTACATACTTTCACTACCGTGCTCTCGACTGGTTTTAATATACGGTGTGCGTATGGCTCGTCTAGAAGAGGAACCTTGCATGTGGAAGAGTATTAGGTTGTACACTTCGGATTGCGTCGGCCGCAGATGAATCTGAGTCAGAGGTAGTATCTTAATCGATGAGCGAAGAATTTTGTTTTTGGTTGGACCAAGTATATGTATGATGCCATTGGTTTTGATTCGGGGTTAGCAGTAGATTGTATACTGATAAAATAATATGAGAAACACACTGACATGAAGTCAGCCCGATAAAGATGACCGAAGCCCCGTGACTGAATACAGACACTAGCATCGGGCTGATGAGCATATTATGCCGACGATGATGGATCAGACGTTTGGTGTCTGCAGCTCTGACGAAGAAAGACAGGATGCCTTTTGGGGATCAGCGCAGGAAAGTAACCGCATCACTCGCTGATTGCGATACTATTGCGATGTGATCTTTGAGCCGAGCGAAAGCCGACGACATCGAATCGATGCGAAATTTTGACACGCACGTTCGCATTGATAGTAGAGACCTTTTGTTAAGAAATACTGTCCTGGAGGTCCAAAGCTGCACAGGTGCAATCTGTCAATATGTAGACAGTGTACCAAGACTGTGACTGTGTCCGGGCCGCAGCCAACTCAAAGACTTTGACTGGTTCGGACGTCATGTCGGCAATGTGACGTCCTATGAGACAAATGAATCTCCGATAAGATTATCTATCGCCTCTCATATAAAGCCGCATCGAACAGTCAACTACTACCGCAATCTCCACCATCCTCTCCCATCCCACATCCCAATAGTATACTAACAAACATGGTGTGTATTTCGTCTCCGTATCCTTTATCGCTTCCTCAGCTTAGTTTACTAGGTTAAAGTCGGAATCAACGGGTACGTTTTGTTCTAAACGCAAAGATGGCCCTAATCCGATCAATATTTTCTCTTTTAGTTTTGGTGTGTATCATCACTTTATTGTACTTTCTAACGCACACCTAATAAACTAACAAGGTCGTATCGGCCGTATCGTGATGCGCAATGCCCTTCAAAACCAGGATATTGAGGTTGTTGCCGTGAACGAGTGAGTGTCTTCTCCTGTCCACAGAACTCGTACTCATATGCCATACAGCCCATTCATTGATCTCGAGTATATGGTTTGTGATTTGACTATATGTTATCGGTTGCCATCGTTCAAAATATTTTTGTCCAGGTTTACATGTTCAAGTATGATTCTGTTCATGGACGTTTCAATGGCGATGTCCACACCAAGGATGGGAAACTTTTTATCAACAACAAGCCCATCGTTGTTTTCAGCGAGAGAGATCCCGCCAATATTGCCTGGGGCTCCGTTGGCGCCGACTACATCGTCGAATCTACTGTACGCTATTTCCTCGAATCACATGATTGTTGTCCGGTATATTGATGAGCAAACCTAGGGTGTCTTCACTACCACTGACAAGTAAGCTCAGTCTAGCTCTCCTATAGAGCTTGTTGCCGATGACTCCTTTTTGTAGAGCCTCTGCCCACTTGAAGGGGGGTGCCAAGAAGGTCATCATCTCTGCTCCTTCCGCGGATGCACCTATGTTCGTCTGCGGCGTCAATCTCGATGCTTATGACTCGAAATATACCGTTGTATGTGTTTGAGCTCCTCACCCTCACCTTATTTCACTCTCATATCACCTCCTAGATTTCAAACGCATCATGCACGACCAATTGCCTTGCTCCTCTTGCCAAAGTCATCAACGACAAATTTGGTATTGTCGAGGGTCTCATGACTACAGTACACGCGACCACAGCAACGCAGAAGACGGTGGATGGTCCTTCAAACAAGGACTGGCGCGGAGGCCGTGCTGTCAACAACAACATCATCCCTTCGTCGACTGGCGCTGCTAAAGCCGTTGGTAAAGTTATCCCTAGCTTGAACGGCAAACTCACGTAAGTGGATGTCTCAACTGCAATATCCTGACTTCACTAATGGTACAATAGAGGAATGTCCTTCCGCGTACCTACTCTTGATGTCTCCGTCGTGGATCTCGTTGTCCGTTTGGAGAAACCCGCATCCTATGACGACATTAAGGCTGCGATTAAGGAGGCCTCAGAAGGCCCTCTGAAAGGTATCATGGCCTATACAGAGGAGAGCGTCGTCTCCACCGATTTCCTCGGCCATAGTGCATCTTCAATTTTTGATGCCACTGCTGGAATTCAGCTCAACAAGAACTTTGTCAAACTAATCTCCTGGTACGACAACGAATGGGGATACTCCAAGCGCGTGTGTGATCTGCTCGTGTTTGCTGCCAAAAAGGATGCCGGCCTGTAAATACTGATAGCAAAATTGTGATGGGTGTAGAAGACGACATTTTATTGTACTTGTTTGATCGTATGTGTACGTTTCATGTACTTGGGGAAAGAGCTTCACTGGTGATGTTTTGTTTTAACTGCTGTCTTTACTATAGAAAATCGGGCAGCGGTTTATGATAACTTATAGATTGCTTTTTGAATGTACGACCCAGAACTTGTACAGCGATGAACTTATTATACAACAATTCACCTCCACCTGAAATTGTGTTTCGACAGGACGGTCACTGATGTCTCATCAACGACTCATCAACGACTGGTTATATTTGATAGCACATAAAATTAACTACTTCACCAACATTGTTACCACTGCGGGGGGAAAAAAAAGCTCAGAAATTGATGTAATAAATCGATTATGATACATGCAAGGACCTGAGAAATATGATAAAGAAACAAAAAACATATTGCGTTTGTTATCCGTTGACTCTGGTCAAAGGTTTAAAGGGAAATCAAAGAACGTGACCGTCTGACCATGCCATGTGACTTGGCCGCTTTCTCCCAGGTTAGGGTTACATATATATGTCACGTGCTGTAAAATAAAAGTTGTTGTGTCCATTTTCAGCAAACTTCTTCAGTCTCCTACCCACCCTCTATTTCGAGAGAAGAGGGATTTATCCTAGTGCTTTGATGTTGAGATGATATACGAAAATAAAATAAAAATAAAACACATCACATGACTCGAAAATTTGAACGTCCCTCGCTCTCTCTCCACAACGGCTGGAACATAACATCAGTAAACAATGGTTTGCCACAGTGACGGCGACGGGGATGATGACAGCGGACTCCCAATAAAATATGAATATAGAAAAAGAATTGATTATATCATCATCTACTACATTCGGACATATACGCCTCAAGGTTGGACATTTGATGACCACACAGAGCCGACTAGGTCTATATTGTTCCTTGAGTTTTTGACTGCGTAGTGAAGGACTGCTCACTATATTGTTCACAATGCTCTCCAAATCTAACCCCTCCATTTGCGCCCAGTATTCCTCTGGCCATTGTGACATCCTCATCCTGTTTAGTCCCCCTTGAGCTACGTCTTGGATTTGAACTGTGTAACAACCAAGAGTTAGTTACTCTGGCGTACACAGAACACACTATAAGGAAGATGATGAGGGAGTGGTTACCCCTTGAGCTGCAGAGAGTTTGTTGGTATACAACAGGAGGACTGACTGAGGAGTCTCCTGGATCTATTAGGGTATATATACTACTACAGGGTTGTTTGTACATGTGTACTATACAGTTTTGATAGAGATAGTGGCTGATGATGTCATGGGGCCTAGCCTGCATGGCCAGCTCCACTGTGTGAGAGAGTTGTGTCTAAAATAAGAAGAAAGGCAACGTGGTGCGAGAAAGAGGAGTATGGACAAAAAGGGGGAAGTGCCGCGTGGCACCATGTGTGAAGGCTAAAGTACAAGGTTTAAAGCGGAGAATGAAAATAAAGGAAAGGTCCGAAAATTGTGTTATTGTAACAAACTGAGCAAGTCACCGACTTGAGACCATAACCTTGGTGCGAGGTCTTGAAATTTGGACGCCATGTCCCAAACGCAGAACTCCTCAATCAAGATCAATTGTTGAGTCGCTCAACCTAGTTGCCTGAAATAGAATAAACATTATATTTGAATATTGATCTGTATTACTTAAGAAAAGGTATTTTATTGGGAGTCCGTTGTCATCATCCCCATCACCATCACTGTGGCAAACCAATGTTTACTGATGTTATGTTCCAGCCATTGTGGAGAGAGAGCAAGGGATGGAGAAATCGGTCATAGCAAGGGAAATGGCGCTGCAGGCGGACTGGAAAAACTGCCAGGGCAGTTCCTGGTGAAATGGCAAGGGGGAGCCAGGGAAATCACTTTATGACGCCACATTTCTGGAGCCTTATTCCCTTACTTCCTGAACGTCAATCTTGAGCGCCAAACATCTACCTGACATCTACCCGACTGACACAATATTCTTGCTTCCCTTGCACTGTGCTTCGCTCCATAATTACATCACCTGTGCAGTTGCAGATCGTTCCTCAAGTTGCATCTGAGTCAATATAGTGTCCAACTTATTTGTAGTACTCACTAGTTCCTACGGTAATGACAAGTAAGCTTGTTCCAGCATCTTTCAAGTACCAGAATATAATAAACAGATCATATACATGGGTATTTTACCCATTGTCCCGTCCTCCTTGCAAACTATGAGCTTGAGAATCTTCGGTTTCTCCAGCATGAGCAGGCCTTGGACCGAAGAGTACTCAGCTGGGTATGTCCTAGGCTTGCCAATAATTATCCTCCCCTCAAGCTAGCTTTCAAGATTGACTGCAAAATCTCTTGTCACAGCTGCTTTTTGACCACTCGTGGAGATGTAGGCATGTATGAGGGCCCTGATACTCAGATCAACCCAGTTACTCCATGTTGGCTAGAGCCTTTAGCGAGTGAAGGCTTACATCTGGATCTATGGCAACATTTACTACACAGCCTTCGTGTTCTCGCACTTACAGCAGGGGAGAATACAATTGTTTCCGAGTTGGTTTCAAGGCCTCCAGAATATGCTACAGATATCCTACAAGTCTCTTGGAGGTTACATAATATAGATGGAGTAAGTCTCCGTATCTTTCCATCATCAATTTTCTCAACTGATATGTATTTGTACCAGTCTTTTTGTGCAAACAAACTACCAGTCTACAATTCTCATAGAACCCACAGTCCACCAGTCACACTTGCAGCAGTCCCCTTTTCAAGGCCAGTTTGAGTATCCTTTAGCCTTTGGGAGGGGCCAGGCGTTCATAATTGTAGGCTTATAGGTGCTCAGTTTCTATCTATAGTTGCACTGTAGTACGTTGGCACAAAGGTGAAACAGGTTCTTTTTTGTCTTACATATTTTATCTCGCTTTTCCCAATAATCAATGCTCATGTGGTAGTCATAACATTATTATAGTCTATCTACTAGTCTCTGTATAGTAGCTTGTATTTCGTATAAAAACTAACTTGAAAAAATTCACTGTGATAAAGCAAAGGTGGCCACATTTAAAATATGAAAAAATAAATAAATAGGAGGTGCGCACCAACATCTCTTATCATCCGTGACAGTCCTCTAAAACATGTCTGTATTTGAGCCTGCAGTTGTCAAGAGCCTCATCAAGAACTCGCTTCCTCAAAATGAAAAGGCTGTATTTGAGAATAAATGGAAAACAGCGGTCAGTATATGTGCCTAGGAAGAATATACGAAATAAAAACTGACCTACAAGTATCAGGTGCAGAAACGAGTGAAGACATGGACAGAGAATCGTCCCACTCTGTCCAGCAAAGCTCAAACAGCCCAGTTTGAATGGGCTGCGAACGTAGTCGAGTATGTTGACTATATCTACAAGGTGACAAAAGTCCATGGAAATAAGAAATTAGCAAGCACTACAGCCCCACAGAATGTGAAGATAGACATACCATTATATGGTCCTCAATTCATCCCTCCCACTTATTTTCACCTGGAAAAGCGTCAATTCCAGCCAACCATCAAGCCAGAATTAACATACCTCAAACCGCTTAATGTTATTCATCCGTCCTTTCACAAGAACCTTGAAAAATGTCCAGCATGTGGGGTGACTGATGGTGTGGCTTGGAGTGGCTGGACATCAACAGGGCTGAGAGATTTGCATGGGCTCCAAGTTGAGGAGACAGCCCTCGGATATCAACTGCGTTGTCAGGTGTGTAAAGAGCGAGCTGCTGATGGGACTGGCTATTGTTTTACTACAACTAGCTATGTTTACTGGGAGAAGTGGGAGTTCTGGGAAATACCGTGTAAGCCCAGGGAGTTTATTTCAAGGAAAGAAACCAGACTCATCTTTTTTTTTTTGGTATTAGACAATATCCCCATTTTTTTCAAGAGATGTGGGGTCACACGAGACCTCTATGACCTGATATTCAAACTTTGTCCATCAACTACATCAGGAGGACTTGCTGAGCACATCAAACGTGAGTACTCACCTCTGTTTCCTATGTCATGGGTTAATAAAATATGTTCAGAACTTCATCTTCTTCAGTATCATGGACGCATGTAGGATTACCTACAAAGTTACACGAAGTGACGCAGCCATGCAACGTACTTTGCACCATGTGGTGCTGTCGAGGCACTGTCTGCGCCACATGTCAGCAAAGCATATAATGACCGACCAATTACTGAGGACCTCATCACAGACATCTACCTTGCATCCATTGAACGCGGCTGACGGGCAGAAGGAAGACAGTATATGCAAACTCTCACAGGTCAGTGCATTCATCCATATTTAGTAGAATTTTGATGCTCACTAGTGATTCCATTCAATCAATCATGTGGCCCACTCTCTGTCAGGTGCTTGCCTATCCCTTGATAACATGTTCAAGTCGGCGAGTAAAGCAACTGTGGCTGATACAAGTGGGGGTAGAATAAATATGAAGCTGATGAAAGGAGGACTACTCAGTATAATAAACAAGCGAAACGAGATTGTAAGCTGGGTAAGTTTTAAAACTCGCTTCTATTATCTTTTGTTTATCAATATTGTGACCGCATAGAGACTCTGTCTGCCTCAAGCCAGTGCCAAAATTCAAGAAACATTAGATGGTCTGAAGCTTTGGCATAAGAAGTTAGGTGCTGACCTACCAGAGATGATTGTGGCAGACAACTGCTGCCATGTTCGGGCATATAAACGCGCCCATGCCTAGCACACAGGTTGTTCTTGATGTTTTCTACTTTATGATGAGGTAAGTTAGACAATTCTGTGTGCCAATTCCAGGACTTCTTCTCACCACTAATAGGTACCTGGCAGCTATTGTTAATGGGATGGAGAATACACATCGCTCAGCTGTTGCGAGCAATATCAGTGAAGCGATCTTCAAAACACCATCAACTGAAGGCAAAAGTGCTGAATACCGCAGTAAATATGAGCAGGAGGCTTACCTCCAAAATATGTTTGAGAAATGGTCTAGGAAAGGAGGAGTCTGGTCAGCGGCTGCCACAAAGGTAGGTTTAACAATATATTTAGCACTCATGCTCACATGTTTTCACACCAGGTTCATGCTGATCAACTGGCCCATGTGAAAAAAGGTTGCCTGTCAAGAACTCGTCAAGACCTTCGATCTGATGGCAGCCACATTGAAGGGTCACATAAGGGCTGGAACTCCCTTATGCGCTCATTCCCAAGTGGCATAGAGATATTCACAGCCCTGTGCCATGACTTTGTCTATCACCGTAACATTTGCATCAGCATCAACTCGGGAAGCACAACTCCCTTCATCAAGTCTACCTATGGAAGCCACCACCTTCGGCGCTGTCGATGATGAGAACTGTTGTTAGAAAACCACACACAAAACAAACTAACACACAATCCTCCCAGATTCCACGGAACTTGTTTATGGGCTTTGCCTCCTAGAACAGTGGAGTGGTCTGGTTGTTCGTGGGGTGGTACGTATAAAGATCCTTCAAAGTAAAACCCAGAGGTGTATGAGTGTGGGTTTTGAGGAGGAGGGATAGTTGAATTTATAGGAAGATAGGTGCTTTGTGGCGAGTATAGACGAGCACTACCTTGCTAATGGTAGCACAAGGTAGGTTTGAGAACGACGAGGATGACGAGGTGACGAGGTTCCCAGTGATAGCAGGCTCCTGACGCACAAACTGTAGTGCTCAGAAGGACTCTAATCGAAAGGGATGACAATGACTTCAAAAGTGGGAAGTGTTGTGACCACACTGGATCACAAGTAGCAGAGTAGTGAACTTGAGAGTAGAGAAGAAGTCTGGATTGGATTTCTTGTTGTTGTTTTTTTTTTACAAGGTAAAATACAGGGGTTTATATAGTAAAAGAAAAGTAGGCTATGCACAGTATAGCTGTGCAAAAAGAATGAGAAAGAATATGAAGGAAGGAATGTACGCTGACGAATCCTGTGTAGGTAGTACAGGATAAGATTGTCAAAAAAAGGAAAAGAAAGGAATAGAACAATAAATGCTGTGAGTAATGTCACAGGTTTGTACAGCCATAAAGTAAAGTCCAATAGCAAAAGGAGAGCAGGAAAATCATGATGTCATGGGAAGATGCAGTAAAAAAAGGGCAAGGCAAAACACTATCAGTATCAACACAGTTCCTTTATTGTCAGTCAGGCATTCTAAAAAAATATGTGTCCATAAAAATGATTCAAAAATCAAAAATAATCGCACTGTAAATGAATGTTCTGCTGAAGAAAAAGAAACTGGAGCCACCGGTCCACCACCTAGTCCAAATCTGACAGTTCCATGGCCTTACCAATGGACTGGTTGTGTTGGACCACCTGATCAAACGAGGGAGGGAGAGGAGTAGTTCCAATTTGGAACAAGTGAGTCCCAGGCAGTGTGTGGTAGGTGTAGCTGTAGCGAAGACAATGGACAAATGATAAGTGTACCCAAGTGAATGGGACAGCGATGAACATGGGCGACGCAAGGGGATGAACCTTCTCCAGCTCAACAATTACCCACCCACACTCCAACCAGGCAAGACGAGCGACCGATGTTTTGATAGTATATGATGGTAGATCGACGTCATGAAGATGGACCTGTTGCCCTATTTGGACCGGCCGCCGGGGCTTTGCTGATATCAGCAGTGGCACGTGGTAGTCAACGGATCGGCGACGGAAGCGGATAGGAAGTGGTGACATCAGAAATGGTGGGGGTGCGAATAAGATGAGGAGGAGGAGGGTGGAGGTGACAAACAAGTGGATTAGAATGGGGACCCAGAAATGACCGTCAGGTGAGAATAAAAAGGAGAGGAAGGGGCCCATGGTGGGGCTAGGCAAAGGAAGGGGAGTAAGGGAAACGACAAAAAGCGAGGGCGCAATGCAATGTGTAGCCAGTGGCGACGCGAAAATTTGCCGAAATGCCGAAATGCGGAAAGTACCGAATGGAAAAGCAAAGGTGAGCGTGACTGGATTGCCTAATAGAGGTGGTGCTGATCAGCCACAAGTTCAAAAAGGGCAATATTAATTACTATTCCACGTGGCACTGTGCCTGTGTGGCGCAAAGGCGAGTCTTTTTGAATATTCGCTTCGTTATTGACACCTGTCCATGCTACCAATCAACTTTGGTGCATGACAGCGCATTAGCAGCATAGCCAACCAATGGAACACATTGGTTGCCAAAGAGCCGACAACCAGCATCACACACCTATGGCCGGTTCTCCCCCACCATTGAGTGTAACAAAGTATTTGGCCTGGTCCACTCACCCCATTTTACAATGTTTGGTGGTCTCTTATCAATCAAAGAAGAGGAAGATCCTGGGGCTGATAACCCCCAGGACCTCCTTGATATGACTTGTAGCAGTGACATTGAGCCGGCATCAATTCTTCAAGACTTGAACATTGATCCCACTCTTCTGTTGGCACCCCAATCTCCAGCTTAACGTGGTCCAGTCCCATCTGGCAGCCAAGCAGCATCTCGCCAAGCAGTGTCTCCAGTTGCATCAAGTTCGGAATTTCCCTCAGTACATGCCAAGCGAAAACTTGTCCATGACCTGACTTGTGAAGAGACACCAGCCAAACTTGAAGGGCCTATGCAAAAGGAGGCACGACTCACTACTGTGTCACAGGACTTGGAAGGAGAGCACACACTTGCTGTATCAAAGGTATGTCAATGGAAAACTCTTTGGCAGTGTATATAAACTCATAGTTCCCCAGCAACGAGTGTCTGGTTCAGGTTCAACAGCTATTCAAAGTTTTTTCACGTCCCACAAGCCGCTCGCTGACTCAACTTCCATCAAAGTTCAAACTGGGTCTCTGACAGTGCCAACTGCAGCAACAGCTAGTGCCAGCTCACTTCATACTGTATTGCCTACTAACAACAAGCAGGGGCTGACACGGTCCCAGCAATTATTTCATATTTGCAGTGGCATTGACCCTTGGTCCCTCAATATCTCATCTGATGCCGAGTTCTACCTTTTCATGGATATGAGGTTAGAGTACAAATGGACAACATTCGGCATGAATTCACACAAATGGGTTCAAGCTACTGACTAGTACAACACAAGGCTACAACAAAAACTTCAACATAAGGGCCCAATAGTCAAGAAGAGCCCACAAGCACTGTTGGACAAGCTGTTATGATAACACAATTTTCGGACCTTTCCTTTATTTTCATTCTCCGCTTTAACCTTGTACTTTAGCCTTCACACATGGTGCCACGCGGCACTTCCCCCTTTTTGTCCATACTCCTCTTTCTCGCACCACGTTGCCTTTCTTCTTATTTTAGACACAACTCTCTCACACAGTGGAGCTGGCCATGCGGGCTAGGCCCCATGACATCATCAGCCACTGTCTCTATCAACTGTATAGTACACATGTACAAACAACCCTGTAGTAGTATATATACCCCAATAGATCCAGGAGACTCCTTAGCGAGTCCTCCTGTTGTATACCAATAAACTCTCTGCAGCCTAAGGGGTAACCACTCCCTCTTCATTTTCTTTATAGTGAGGTTCTGTGTGTGCCAGAGTAACTAACTCTTGGTTGTTACACAAGCTCGGTGAGATGGAGGGCCATATCATTGAGAGGGTAAAGTCAAACAACTTTGCATGTAAGTGTCTCTTTGTAATTAATACCGACCTGAAAATCCATCTTAAGGATGGGTTTGATACTATATGGCGAAAAAAACGGAAAATCCATCTTAAGGATGGATATGATACTATATGGCGAAAAAAATGGAAAGTCCTTCCAAAAGGAAAGGATAGTCTACATATACTAATTACTATTGACAGCTAAAAGTGGACGTGAAGCTTTCTGGAGGAAGCACTGTCTTGCTATCTCACTTGTTAAGGCCGACACAAATAAGAAACATGTAAGTAACAAGTAAGACATCCTTGGTGTGTGTGTAACTACTAACTGTTATTATAGCGCAAGACTCAAGTTTGCAGCCGGTGTCCTACCATTAAGTTCCCTGGATCAACAGGCTCGGCATGCCACCACAAGAAGAAACATTGCTCTGACGGAGTCCCTGTGACCATCAGCGAGCCAGCTTCAGATCTCCCACCCTGGCCTCAACCTCAAGGGATCTTCGTCAATGGGACACACTTTCATCCCCACACCTTCTTGTCGAAAATTTGAGAAATGTACAAATGTGTGGTGATCCAGCACACTGATGGGGCCAACCTTGCAATGGAGTACAATTTTACGGATCAACTGTCTCTGTCAGACTTAAGTGGGTTTCTTTTAGTGGGGGTTGTTTAGGTTTTATACACCAGTTAAATTGCAAGATCATTATATTTCACTGTTTCATATAATTACGTTCGTTGTTTATTTACTGGGACCAACCCTTTCCCCCCTCTCTCCCTATCTGCCTCCCTATATGCCGCTTTTTCTCTTTCTCTTGTGCCTCTTTCTCGTTATCTTCTCGTCGTCTCTATGTCCCATGGTCTCTTTCTCATCATCTATGCCTTCTTTCTTTCTTCACTATGTCTCGTGTGTCCCTGCCGATTCGATTTGTTGTCATTTTCAAATGCCTGTGTTCCTGTAGTGTGCCAATGAATTATTCGTTTGCCGGTGAAATGAGAGAAAAAGGACTTACCGACTCGAAATCTTGAATTCGGAAGTTCGAACTTAAAGAAAAAATCAATCGGTCAGAGGTCATGTGACAAACGGTCTGTCAATCGGTAAATCGGTCACTCACAGAACGGTCGACCGATTTAAGGTTTCCCTTGGAATGGCGGGGTTGCCCCTTGGGAAAAGGTATTTTATTGGGAGTCCGCTGTCATCATCCCCGTCACCGTCACTGTGGCAAACCATTGTTTACTGATGTTATGTTCCAGCCGTTGTGGAGAGAGAGCGAGGGACGTTCAAATTTTCGAGTCATGTGATGTGTTTTATTTTAATTTTATTTTCGTATATCATCTCAACATCAAAGCACTAGGATAAATCCCTCCTCTCTCAAAATAGAGGGTGGGTAGGAGACTGAAATTTCTTGCACTTCCCCTCAGCAAACATTGAGTTTAGTTAGTAACTGTCCAGCGCAAACTCTTAGTCTCAATAATAGTTCCTTTGCAGATTGATATCCTCAACAGAGCTACATCCAAGTCTAAATCTGGCTCAGAACGCAGTCGCTGTCCTGGATGCGTACATCATCATTAACTTTACCTCTCGGTCTCATCAACCTCACACTTCTTCGCGCAAGCACTCGACCTTGCACGTGCGGAAGGTACAGGATTAGATATGTGCCAGGACTGGCGCTGTTCACGCGCAAAATGCATGCTTTGGCAGTTGCACCCAGTACAAACTTGCCGATGCATAGGACTCAGAGCTTTAGTATGGAGTTGGAGGACAGAGTGCAAGCATTTCAAAATACAAGCATCACAGAGGTATCTCTGTCTTACCTTTCAATATGTGCATGCAGCTCTGACGACAACGCATACAGGCATCTTTCCTTGACCTTCCGGGAATACCAGAAGATGAGCTACTGACAATATATGAAGACCTTTTGGCATTCCAACCTTTTCAAACCACTGTCCCAGAGGCGTTGGATTCTCTCTCCCGGGAGGAAGAAGATCTCTCAACGATATCGGCAATCAATCAAAGACTTCAAGTTATCGACGTAGCAAATGTACGCTCGGGCTCTGAAGAAGTCTCACTCTCTCACCATCTCAGCAACCGTAGATCGGAGCCATCAAATATCCACAAAAGGGTATTAGGTCAGGTACACGCCGTACTGAACCGACTGGACTCCGTGCGTGTGTCTGCATACGCGTCTCTTGATAAAAAATCAGGCAAGATGCCGAAGGAAAGAGTGTCCATCAGCATCCTATCAAAGACGGAATGGATGGCGCTTGTCAGAGTTTGTGTGCGTGTCTCCTCTTCAAATACGGACGTAAATGAAACTGATACAGTGTAGATCCGTGAACAAGATAGCGCTTCTGCTGAAGCAGCTATTCATCTGATGAAGGTGTGTTTATACTAAGTCAGAGAACAGAGACCGAAGGACTAATACGATCACGAAGCGGTCGGGGTTTCTTCCGCCTGAGGAAACTGTCAACAGTGTTCTCGAATACTATGCGAACAACGCCAATATTTCAGGTGTAGAGACTTTCATTTCCAAAATGTTAACAGGTTAATCGGGAGTTCTCTCGTTATCACGATGGCCGCTAAAATGAAAACCTAGGTACTCCTACGGAGAAACAACGGGATTTGCATGTCAAAGCTCACCTCAAATCAACACCTTCTGGTACCATCCCGGCCTCTGCGCTATCTGTCATTCACAGATACGAAGAGCGGTCTCTGGATGCTCCGATCACAACATACACCCGTGTCATCACTTCATTATTTTCATGTCACTCGTCTATAGGAAACGCACAAGCGTGGGATCTATTTGTACATATGCGCTATGTTGCGCACCCCACGCCCGATGCTCTCTTGTACACGCTTATGATCCGTGCGTGCGCTTCATCAGTACGAATATTATCTGAACCAGAACGTGCGCTCGATTTGTGGACGGAAATGACTGTTGATCACTCCATACAGCCTTCAGTGGGGGCATATAATGCCGTCATCTTGGTGTGTGCACGTTCTGGACAGAAGAAATATGTACACGAGGCATTCAGACTAGCCAAAGAAATGCTCGACTCAAATCGCGATGCCAGGGGACACTGCGCGTATCCGCCAGACAGACAAACCTTCATCGCATTGCTGGAAGGTGCTAAAAGAATCGGGGATTTGGGGAGGACGAGGTGGATTTTAGCGGAATTGGTGAACGGCAGGAGTGATCCATGGTACACGGGAGACAGTGGGCGTCAAGACCTCATTATCAATGAAGAGATAATGATGCATATATTTCACGCTTACGCCGCATACAAACCACCATTCAAACGGGGGGCATTGAGGTTTGTCAGTGAGCGGCCAGAGGCAGCTATAGGAAAAGGACAACAATCACAGGAAACGGACTCACATCCTGGGCCTTCCTCTGGAACACCCTTAGGCCCAGGCGACTTACCAATCGAAATGGAAGCGTCGACCTTCTCGCACATACCTCCTCAGACTTCAACCGAGGTAGTCGCCGAGGCAAAGGCACTCTTTGGCTACATAAAGCGAGACTTACTGCCTAATGTCCCTCGAGAGCTTCATCCTGACACCTTCGACCCCGTTCAGAAGAAGTTTGAAGGAGTACAATTGACTCCGCGACTGTTAAATGCGTACTTATCAGTTTATTACGCGCACTCTGGGATAGTATCGTCTCACCAGCTGTTCAAAACCATATTCCCTGAGCTATGCGTAGAGAAGAATGCACAGTCGTATGTCGAGGCCATGGAAAGGTGTGCAATGTCGAAGAAACATGAAAGGGACTTGGCCTTTCCTTTTGCAGAGGAGGTATGGCGAGAATGGCAGTCTACAGAGTTCGATGGTGCACACAGGCAGCGATATGGTGCTCGAATGGCTGAGAGAGCGCACAGTGCAAAGATTCGCACATTGACTCTGTAAGTCTGTTGATGTTAATCGTTGTTTAAAAGGCTAATAATTTCGACAGCCTAGGCGATCTTGACCGTGCCTTGACCGCGGTAAAAACATTCGTTCGTGATTATCCCCCATCAGCTGTGCGTTGTGCAGCTCCAAAGCTCTCAATGCGATCGACTCGAACAATGCTCAATGCACCCCGACCACTGGTTCGGGCTACCTCTTCTGTCGAAGTACCAGACGATACTGTACCACCTTTGCTCACTTTCACGGACCTTGAAATTCTGCACCACCGGCTAGTCGCAGCAGGACGGCAAGGTGATATCGCTTATTTAAAGTACGTATGTAAGGCCTATGAAGGGGCCCTTAGGGTTCGCAGGAGAATGACTATGCACGCTGAACCTGGGCCAGACTCCTAGGGATAACTGGTCTGTTTTTACTCCTTGATAAATTACCTGCTGCTTTACATCATGCTTGCTTGTTCACAATGGTTATGAAAGTCTCGTCTCATCGATATACTAGTACAGTCGGACTACTATATAATGGATGTACTTATCCACACTTGACAGTGAGGAGAATTTTATTGGACCAAAATGTCTTTGAAATGGCTTAGAATATATAATATTTAGTTGACATTTTAAGTGCTCAAAACTATGAATTTTACCTGTTTTGTAAATGCATTGACACATTAGACCCAGCCAAAAATGACAAAATTCCCATAGATGCCTATCATTGGGTGACTTTCCACTAGGCTTGTACAGTGACTCCAAAAACTGTTGCAATGTTTGGCCTAAACACGGTGCGCTTTGCACACCGCCAACAGGTGTGGAAAGATCGCTTAGCTTTAGTAGGGTCGACAAAAGTACTTGGTCTTGGCTACAAAATGGTTCCTAGGTCATGTGATTTGGCCCAGCGGCTGTGAAGATATGTCCATTTCAAAACAGCAATACCATTGCAACAGTCTTTTCACTTTAGGTATCAAGGGAGATATCTAGGGAATATCAGTACTTGGTATAGCCTCCTTTTGTAACAACCAAGTGTTTATATACTCTGGCGCACAACTCAAACAAGCAGTAGTGAAGTGAGTGGGAGTGGTTACCCCTTATGATAGGACCAAGTTAGTTGTGGGTAAACAACAGGAGGACTCGCTGAGGAGTCTCCTTGATTTATTGGGTTTATATACATCTACAGACTATTTGTACATGTGTACTACATAGTTGATGAAGGCAGCGGCTGATGATTTTATAGGGCACAGCCCATGTGACCAGCTCCACTGTGTGAGAGACTTATAGCTAAGAATTAAAAAAAGCAGTGCAGTGGGAGAAAGTGGAGTTTGAACGAAAAAATGGAAAGTGCCGCATGGCACAGTGTGTGAAAACTACAAAAGAAAGTTTAAGTGGAGAATGAAATTTAAAGGTCTGAAAATTGTGTATCGTAACACTACCCCCCTTCTAAGGCTTGACTTCCAGGCTCGACCAAGTACTGGAGGTAGTAGTTAGATTTTCGGGCAGAGGTTGAAAAAGGGAATTTCAAAGGGTTGAATCCATGCCTCTAAGCTTCCTAGGAGCTGAGGGATTCTTAGAATAATATTCTCGAACAGCATTGCGGGAATTGTTCAGATGGGCTTCTGGTTCCCACGTTCTGTCCTCGTCTCCATAGCCCTTCCATAGGACTAGGAACTCTAATTTTCCACGCTTCAAGTGTGCATCCACCACCCGTTTGACTTCATATTCTTCTTCACCTTCCTGGGTGACTAAAACCAGTCCAGGCTGTTCTATGCGCTGTCCTGGCAGTAGCCCTTTGTAGGGTTTTACACGGCTGATGTTGACCGTGGGTACTACCCTCATTCATCTTGGGAGTTCCAGCTCCACCACATTGGGTTTGACTTCCTTAATTCGGTAAGGACTGATCCACTTCTTGGTCAGTTTTCTAGACTGCTGATCTTTTAATTTTAAATGGTTGGTATCTTACCAAACCAGGTCGCCGACCTTGTAATCAGGGGCCTTAGAGCATCTACGCTCTTCCCTGTCTTTCATCTGCTCTACAGTTTTAAATAGCACCTTGCGTGTTTTGTCTAAGACAGACTTTATGTCTTTGACCATGCTCCTAGCAGGCTTGTTCTTGCTTTTGCCAGGTTCTACATCCATTCTGGGGAGGTATGACTATGTAATCTTGAATGGTGCTTTCCCTGTAGCCGACAACTGTTTGACATTATATGAGAACTGGGCTATCTTAAGCCACTTGGCCCAATCTGTCTGCCTGTCATTAATAAATATACGGAGCTATTGTTTCAATTCTTGATTGAGCCTCTCCATTTGTCCATCAGTCTGCGGATGGAACACTGTTGATAATTTAGGTTTGATGCCCAGCATCCGGCACAATTTTTTTTGTGAATTCACTAGCAAATTGGGGCCCCCTATCGGACATAACCGTTTCTGGTAACCCATGGATAGACCATACAAAATCTTTAAATAATTCTGCCATACCCACGGCTGTAATAGTTTTATTTGTGGGAATAAATACCACTTCTTTGGAGAAGCGATCCACTACCACCATTACTGAATCATACCCATTTGACATGGGCAGATCCATTGTGAAGTCAACCAATATATTCTGCCAAGGACTAACTGGTATTGGATTTGGCATAAGTTTGCTGGCCAGCAGTTGATGCGAGTTCTTTGCCATGGCACATCTTAGACAGAATTTTATGTATTCCTGTACATCTTTGACCATGCCAGGCCACATGTAGTTTCTGGAGATCGACTCCATTGTTTGTTGCCATCCAGGGTGCCCAGGAGTGTCATCATGTCTATCTATTGTCTTGATCCTTGCAGATTCAGGCACATAGATTTTATAATGGAAAAGCCCATCTTCCCATAAATAGTGTTCATTGTTGTTGTCATGCACCAAAGTTGATTGGCAGCATGGACAGGTGTCAAAAATGAAGCGAATATTCAAAAAGACTCGCCTTTGCGCCACACAGGCATAGTGCCACATGGAATAGTAATTAATATTGCCTTTTTCGAACTTGTGGCTGATCAGCACCACCTCTATTAGGCAATTCAGCTGCACTCACCTTTGCTTTTCCATTCAGTACTTTCGGCATTTTGGCATTTTGGCAAATTTTTGCATCCCCATTGGCTACACATTGCGCCCTTGCTTTTGTTGTTCTCCCTTACCTTTTTTTCTTTACTCAGTCCCACCATGGGACCCTTACTCTCTTATTTATTCTCACCCAATGGTTGCTTCTGGATCCCTATTCTGGTTCACCTCCTCGTCACCTCCACCCTCCTCCTCCTCATCTTCTTTGCTCCCCCACCATATCTGATGTCACCCCTTTCTATCTGTTTCTGTTGCCGGTCCATCGACCACCACATGCCACTGCTAATATCAGCAAAGCCCCGACGGCCGGTCCATCTTCATGACATCGATCTTTCATCATATACCATCAAAACATTGGTCACTCGTCTTGCCTGGTTGGAGTGTGGGTGGGTAGTTTTTGAGCTGGAGAAGGTTCATCCCCTTGCGTTACCTATGTACATCACTGTCCCATTCACTTGGGTACACTTATCTTTCATCCATCGTCTTTGCTACAGCTACACCTACCACACACTGCCTGGGACTCACTTGTTCCAAATTGGAACTACTCCCCTCCCTCCCCCGTTTGACCAGGTGGTCCAGTACAACCAGTCCATTGGTAAGGCCATGGAACCATCAGATTTGGACTAGGTGGTGGACTGGTGGCTCCAGTTTCTTTTTTTCAGCAGAACATTCATTTACAGTGCAATTATTTTGATTTTGAATCATTTTATGGACACATTTTTTTAGAATGCCTGACTGACAATAAACGAACTGTGTTGATACTGATATTTTTTTGCCTTCTTTTTTTTACCGCATCCTCTTATGACATCACAATTTTCTTGCTCTCTTTCTGTTATTGGACTTTATTTTATGGCTGTACAAACCTGTGACATTACTTACATAGCATTCATTGTTCTATCTCTTTCTTTTCCTTATTTTGACAATCTTATCTTGTACTACCTATGCAGGATTTGTCAGCCTACATTCCTTCCTTCATGTTCATTCTCATTCTTTTTGCACAGCTATACTGTGCATAGCCTACCTTTCTTTTACTATATAAACTCCTGTATTTTACCTTGTAAAAAAACAACGAGTACTCCAATCCAGACTTCTTCTCTAATCCCAAGTTCACCATTTGCTACTTGTGATCCAGTGTGGTCACAACACTTTTCCACTGCTACTACTGTCAATTGCTGTTATTGTCACTCTCCACTTCTGAAGTCATTGTCATCCCTTTCAATTAAAGTCCTTCTGAGCACTACAGTTTGTGTGTCAGGAGCCTGCTATCACTGGGAACCTCATCACCTCGTCTTCTTGTCGTTCTCAAACCTACCCTATAATTAGCAAGGTAGTGCTTGTCTATACTTGCTGTAACGACCAAGAGTTAGTTACTCTGGCGCACACAGAAACACACTACAAGGAAGTTGATGAGGGAGTGGTTACCCTTTAGGCTGCAGAGAGTTTGTTGGTTAACAACAGGAGGACTCGCTGAGGAGTCTCCTGGATCTATTGGGGTATATATACTACTACAGGGTTGTTTGTACATGTGTACTATACAGTTGGTAGAGACAGTGGCTAATGATGTCATGGGGCCTAGCCCGCATGGCCAGCTCCACTGTGTGTGAGAGTTGTGTCTAAAATAAGAAGAAAGGCAACGCGGCGCGAGAAAGAGGAGTTTGGACAAAAGGGGAAGTGCCACATAGCACCCTGTGTGAAAGCTAAAGTACAAGGTTAAAGTGGAGAATAAAAATAAAGGAAAGGTCCGAAAATTGTGTTATCGTAACACTCGCCACAAAGCCCCTATCATCTATCTTCCAACTACCCCTCCTCCTCAAAATTCACACCCACACATCTCTGGGTTTTATTTTGAAGGACTGTTATACATACCACCCCACGAACAACCAGACCACTCCACTGTTCTAGGAGGCAAAGCCCATACACAAGTTCCATGGAATCTGGGAGGATTGTGTGTTAGTTTGCTTTGTGTGTGGTTTTCTAACTACAATTCTCATCATTGACAACGGTTAGGTCTAGTATTCCTCCCCACTCGTTCCTGGACCCATCCTTGGAACACTCTGAAGGTCTAGTTTCAGATCTTTCCATTTCATTAAACATCAGCTTCCTTCAGCTGACTAATCCAAAATTTTCAGTCTTCCAGCATTTCCCGCAAAACCAAAACTTGACCTTCACCACCAAGCCAGCGAAGTAACATTAAAATATTTTGTTTATCACTCATCTCAACAAATCGATAAATAATACTCCTCTGGTTATTATTTATTCTACTCTGTCAATAGTAAGCGCCCATACAAAGCTGACCTGCCTCGTCGCGCCGGTTGTCATGGGCCAAGTCACGTCATGTGATAGCATCGGTTATGGATGAGACTTACTTAAGCTTGCTTAATTTATTTGTATCCTGAAATCGTGTAACATGACGTGACATAGCGTGAGAAATGTTGTTTGCCTGTCCAAAACGAGCGCGTTTGCAAAAGGCCGAACGGGCCCAAAGTTTACGTGTTATTTGCCATCTAACGTTGTGCCCAACCGCCAACCAACCACCAACCACTAACCACCGCTGCGATGGCTCAGCTTATTCGCTCTGCAAAGTCTGGCAGCGATTGGACGGACGCTGAACTCATCGCTTACAACGTCTCCATCACGCCAACCTCCCCAGCTGTTTTTTTCCAATCCGGTGCAGACCCGTCGCTCGACCATCTTGATCCCGCCATCCTCACCTCATCTAATGCGGAAGACCCCAACCTCTCAGCGGCCACTGCAGACTACCTAGGCTACCTCGATCTCGCCACCCATGCCACCCAAGAAAGTGCCATTGACGACTTCGCCGCCGCGACTCTGAGGCTCCTGGGCTTCAACGAACGACACGCCACTGTGGCCACCCGCTACATTATACCTCTCACCATCTGCGGTGAGACTCGGGCGGCTCAAACAGATGTATGTGTTATCTACCGCCCCACCACTATACTACTCGTGCTCGTCGAGGATAAGACACTCTTTAACAAGACCAACGCTGAGGCGCAGGTTGTGGCAGAGGCGATCGCAGCGTTTCAATTTAATAACACAAAGCGCGCAGCGAGGGGCCAACATGTCCTAGAAGTTATGACCATTCCCTGCATCACGATGTTTGGCACCACCCCCACCTTCTACCTCGTCCCTGTCACCAGGGAACTGAGTGATGCCGTCAAGACCGCTCAGTATCCAACGTCACAAACTCGGGTCTTGAAGTGCGTCACCATTGCGGAGCATCAAAGGTGGCTCAGTGATGGAATGGCGGACAGAGAATTTCGAAAGCTTGCTCTCACACGCTTCGTCGCGTTCAAGACTCTTGCAAGAAGCCACTGGCAGCAGTACCTAGCTTAGCTGTTGTTTACCCATCATGTTCAATGTGTGTTTCATCAATCTCATTCTCTTTATCACCATGTTTCACTTCCCTTAGACTGGACCTTATTTTCTGCCTGTTTTCTCCTCTTCTTTTGGCTTGTTTTCTTTCTCATTAGTTTCTTTTAAAGTGCATGGGTGCTATGAGTGGCTCTTAGAGTGCTATAGATTACTGCATTTTGACTGTTCATATATGTGGGAAGTTGGCTGTTGTTCACATTAGGTACTCATCTCTGGCCACATGTAGATATCACAAATGTCTATGTCTCTCCAACATACCATTGTTACTCTCCATCAAATACATATTTACCCTTACACTGCAGGCATTGGTTGATTGTAGCCAAGTTTATAACCTGAGAATTGTTGGTACTAGAGGATGGAGGATGAAGGTATGTTATGAGTGTGGAATGGAGTGTAAAATTGGGATCTGGCTTAACTCGTGCACTAAGCCCTTCCACAGACCTTGGTCCCTAACTCAATGGAGTGAACAAGGGGAGAGTAGAGGATGAAGCAGGAGAGGAGCAAAGGTCCTTCAGAAAAGGACCTTGTAACAACCAAAGTTTGAATACTCTGGCACACAACTCAGACAAGCAAAGAGGAGAGTGGAGGAGTGGATAAACTTCTTATGGTAGGACCAAGTTAGTTGTGGGTAAACAACAGGAGGACTCACTGAGGAGTCTCCTTGATCTATTGAGGTTCATATATGTCTACAGGCTATTTGTACATGTGTACTATACAGTTGATAAATGTGGTAGCTGATGATGTCATAGGTCACAGCTCTTGTGACCAGCTGCACCACGTGAGAGAGTTGTAACTATAAATAAAAGGGGGCAGCGCAGCACAAGAAAGTGAAAGTACAATAGGAGCTTGAAAACCAAGGAAAATGCTGTATGGCAATAAAGGGGAAAGAAGTTTGAAACGGAGACTGAGAGTAGGAAGTCCAAAAATTTGTATCATAACAGTAAGTGGAGTTTGAAATAAAAGGAAAGTGCTGCATGGCACAAGTGTTTGAAAATGATAAAGAAAGTTAAAGGGGAAAATAAAAGTTGAAAGTCTGAAAATTGTGCACCGTAGCAGAGGGAGGCAGCAGAGACAGGGGAGACACAGCCAATGTGTCCCTGCTCTGCCTGCGTGTCCCAGGGCTTGGAGTGCCAGTATAGTGGCGGGGGTCAATGAGCACGCGCCCGTGCCAATTGCAGGGCAAGCAGCTAGATGTACAAGGAGGACGATGTCGATGATGAGAACTGCAGTTAGAAAACCACACACAAAACAAACTAACACACAATCCTCCCAGATTCCACGGAACTTGTTTATGGGCTTTGCCTCCTAGAACAGTGGAGTGGTCTGGTTGTTCGTGGGGTGGTACGTATAAAGATCCTTCAAAGTAAAACCCAGAGGTGTATGAGTGTGGGTTTTGAGGAGGAGGGATAGTTGAATTTATAGAAGGATAGGGGCTTGGTGACGAGTATAGACGAGCACTACCTTGCTAATCGTAGCACAAGGTAGGTTTGAGAACAACAAGGATGACGAGGTGACGAGGTTCCCAGTGATAGCAGGCTCCTGACGCACAAACTGTAGTGCTCAGAAGGACTCTAATCGAAAGGGATGACAATGACTTCAAAAGTGGGAAGTGACAATGACAGCAGTTGACAGTGGTAGAAGTGGGAAGTGTTGTGACCACACTGGATCACAAGTAGCAGAGTAGTGAACTTGAGAGTAGAGAAGAAGTCTGGATTGGATTTCTTGTTTTTACAAGGTAAAATACAGGGGTTTATATAGTAAAAGAGAAGTAGGCTATGCACAGTATAGCTGTGCAAAAAGAATGAGAAAGAATATGAAGGAAGGAATGTACGCTGACGAATCCTGCGTAGGTAGTACAGGATAAGATTGTCAAAAAAAGAAAAGAAAGGGATAGAACAATAAATGCTGTGAGTAATGTCACAGGTTTGTACAGCCATAAAGTAAAGTCCAATAGCAAAAAGAGAGCAGGAAAATCATGATGTCATGGGAAGATGCAGTAAAAAAAGGGCAAAGCAAAACACTATCAGTATCAACACAGTTCCTTTATTGTCAGTCAGGCATTCTAAAAAAAATATGTGTCCATAAAAATGATTCAAAAATCAAAAATAATCGCACTGTAAATGAATGTTCTGCTGAAAAAAAAGAAACTGGAGCCACCGGTCCACCACCTAGTCCAAATCTGACAGTTCCATGGCCTTACCAATGGACTGGTTGTGTTGGACCACCTGATCAAATGAGGGAGGGAGAGGAGTAGTTCCAATTTGGAACAAGTGAGTCCCAGGCAGCGTGTGGTAGGTGTAGCTGTAGCGAAGACGATGGACAAATGATAAGTGTACCCAAGTGAATGGGACAGCGATGAACATGGGCGACGCAAGGGGATGAACCTTCTCCAGCTCAAAAACTACCCACCCACGCTCCAACCAGGCAAGACGAGCGACCGATGTTTTGATAGTATATGATGGCAGATCGACGTCATGAAGATGGACCTGTTGCCCTATTTGGACCGGCCGCCGGGGCTTTGCTGATATCAGCAGTGGCACGTGGTAGTCAACGGATCGGCGACGGAAGCGGATAGGAAGTGGTGACATCAGAAATGGTGGGGGTGCAAAGAAGATGAGGAGGAGGAGGGTGGAGGTGACGAGGAGGTGAACTAAAATGGGGACCCAGAAACGACCGTCGGGTGAGAATAAAAAGGAGAGGAAGGGGCCCATGGTGGGGCTAGGCAAAGGAAGGGGAGTAAGGGAAACGACAAAAGCGAGGGCGCAATGCAATGTGTAGCCAGTGGCGACGCGAAAATTTGCCAAAATGCCAAAATGCGGAAAGTACCGGATGGAAAAGCAAAGGTGAGCGTGACTGGATTGCCTAATAGAGGTGGTGCTGATCAGCCACAAGTTCAAAAAGGGCAATATTAATTACTATTCCACGTGGCACTGTGCCTGTGTGGCGCAAAGGCGAGTCTTTTTGAATATTCGCTTCGTTATTGACACCTGTCCATGCTACCAATCAACTTTGGTGCATGACAACGAGGTGCCCGTGGCAGGGCCCAGCAAGGGGAAGAGGAGGGCTCCAGCAAAGTTTGAGGCATTGGAGGGTGTGGAGTGCTCAATCAAGAAGAACAAGACGACAACAATAATAACAATGGGATTGGAAGAGGTGTGGCAGGCCAGGTGGTGGGCCTGCTGGGAGTGTTGTTATTGGAGTGGTGGGCGGTACTTGCCTCCACCAGTCTGGAGAAAAGTTGACAGCTTAACAAGCGGACCACCCCCTGACAACTGTTTGGACCAGGGTTTATTATGTTTACCTTTTATATACAATTTCAAATACTATAGTGTGGGTAGCCGGAGATTGAGATCCAATACTCAGCTGGAAAGAGGTAGATCCACAGATAGCAAGTGGGAACCCCAGCTACATTTTTTTTTACTTCTACACATCAAACAAGTCATCATGTCAATGCAACCAGAAATGGTGGATGTTAATGCCATCCTTTACTGGATGTGGGAGAAGATTATAAATCTCACCGCACAGCTTGACGAGCTATGGGCAAATTCCCCCAAGCAAGTTGAGCCAAAATTCAACAAGAAAGTCGAGATTGTTGCTGACCAGCTCTTTTGAGGGAGACTAGGCTAGATTTGCTGAATGGTAGATCAAGCTGCAAATCTGGATCATGGCGAACTGGGATGCCTTTTCAGATGATTTCAGAATCGCAACAGCTGTGCTGTCAAGACTAAAGGGGCCTATGGTGGGTCGGTACACCCAAGTGGGACTCCAGCAGTGCTACACTGGGGGTGTATGGCCAACCTGGGATGATCTCAAATTAGAGATTGGAAAATATTTTAAACCACAAGCTGAGTGTGACTGGGCGTGTTAGCAAATCTGTTTCTTCAAACAAGGAAATATGAGGACAGATGATTTTGTAACCCGGTTCCTGGCCCTCTCCATCCAAAGGGGTCTTGGTAACGAACATGCAGTAGATCTGCTGGAACACAATGTGGCCTTACACATTGCAGAGCAGCTCTATGTGCAGGATATGAGAAGGGACAATCTTGTGGATGCAGCAAAAGAAATCCGCAAGATTGGTAGGGCTCAGGAGCTCTACAAAATGCAATTTGGTGGTGGGTCCACCACCAAAAACAACTATTCCCAGAGGCACACTGGGTCATCAAACCAAAATAACAATCACTCTTACATGTTCAAGCTGTTTGGGCTGAAACCAGGGCAGGGGGCCCCTATGGATATCAGCGCGGTCCAGGGAGGACAGATGCGCAGATTCAAGGGGAACTGCTACAATTGCGGCCAAGAGGGACACATGTCCCGGGACTGTAGAAATGGGGTGCAGGCTGCCCAAAACCAAAACAAAGGGCGCCAGGTGCACCAATTTAAAAACAAACAATCAGACAATCAGCTCAATACTTTGGCCAGTTGTTTGTATGACAAAATCCAGGCCTTCTTCTACGACCAGCAGGTAAATGAAATGAAGGCCCAGGGAAAGGAATTTGGAGCTTAGGTTACTTGGGTGCCTTCGCTCCTCAAATGATGAAGTAAACCACAACAAGGTGGCCCCTGCTCCAGGGTGTTGCACGAGCAATGAAGAAAAGGAGGTGGCTTCCCATTTTGTAAATAGATTTCTAAATTTATTATCAGAAGTATATATTTGTATTCAGAAATGTGACTTTAATATTTATGATACTACCGCTGCACCAGTGTTTCCCCAGAAGTGTGGCTCCGGCAAGACAACTACTAGGGTGCTTGATTCTGGTAAAAATAAAAATAAAATATAGAAAACCCTAAAGGGAAAAACATGTTTCTTTTGATATTTCCTCTTCTTCTTCAGAGCCACTTTCTACCAAAGTCTCAAAGTGTGTGTTAATGTGCACATATTTATTCTAAAAGGAGATTCATTTAGATGTTGGTGTGGAAGACTTTGCCCAAGGCATAATACACCCAACAAGTGCACTGCTTCATTCAGGCGCTAACAGTATCTTCATAGATCAGGTTTGGGTGGAGCAAATAGAACTCCCCCTTGTAGGATTAGATATATTTATTCCCATCTATAACATTGACGGTACACTAAACATAAGTGGCTGCATTATGCACAAATGTTTTTTTGTGATTGAGTACCACGGACACGGAGAACAAGTCACCGCCAAGGCTACCCAACTAGGGAAGATTAATTTAATATTAGGCTGAACCTGGCTATTTAAAAAAAATCCTGAGATAAACTGGCAGACAGTGGTTGTCACATTGTCACATTGCCCTCAGGAGTGTAACAACTTGGGAAAGCCGAGTCACATCTGTCAAAACGAGACTGAGGAAAGAACAAATGCTTGCCACATTTATGCTAAACTCAGATCTCTGGACAAAGGCAATGATGATGCCAATGAGGTTATACCCGAGGAAGAGATTAAGAGGATGGTACCTCCTGAGTACCATGACTTCTGGAAAGTCTTTTCAAAACATAAATCAGAATGCTTCCCGTAGGCTAAGCCTTGGGACCATGCAATAGATTTGAAGGACACCTTCAAACCAAGAAAGGGACACATGATTCCCCTCTCTGCTTGTTACTATCAAAACTTCTTCATAATTGTAATTCAACTCTTGGAGGTATTGCCACCATCGGTTCCTGTCTCTTATTGTTTTCAGGGATCATAGATAGAAGATCCTTCCCTATAACTCAGGGTTGTTGTCAGGGTCAAAGATATAGTTGCTCAGATGACAGGGTTGAGCACTCCCTTCATGATGAGCAAGGAAAATATAGAGTAGATTCAACTTGTCCTATCCTGCTGTTATACAGGGGTTTATATACTAAACTAGGTAGTGAATCTAAGCTCCTCTCCGAACTGGGTTTGTATGTAAGAGCCAATAGCGTAAAGACCTCTAGGGTCAAGAATAATGAGGTATTGTCCAGTAGGAGTATCCTAGGAAAGTAGTAATGATGAGTCAGGGGTATGTGACATAATATAATTATAAAGAGTATTCTTGGAAGAACTGTGATCAGCTGGTATAGGCTATGGCTGTGTGTTCAAGAAAGAAATGGAAAAATAAGATAATAGTACAAAGGTTGAAAGATAAGAGATAAGATGAGAAGATATAGTGTGGGAAGATACAACAGTGATAGGTGATAACCACTGGATAAGGAAATATAGCCTGATAGGTTAAAAAAAATGTTATAGGAAAACAAGAGGCCATAGGAATCCGTAACACTGCTCCAGAAAGAGATGAGGTCTCTAGCTTCATAGATGAGCAACTTAAGCAGCCCATATAGTTATAATTGCTTGTCTTAGACGGGGCATTATTACCTGATAATATTACTATATAGAGAGGGCCAGCGGAATTTGGCAAATTGTACTGGCCATGCCATGTTAAACATAATATTATTGTGCCCATCCTTAACGACCCAGCTGGGTGAGAGGTTGCCAATCCTGAACAACCTGGCTGGGTCAGTACATTACAGGGTGCCTGTCTTAGACCACTTGGCTGGATCAGAGTCTGCTCATCAAAGACCTGTCTCTCACCTTTTTAGGCATCATTTTTTATTTTACGTTGGATATGCAAATATCTTATAATTTCCAAATCTGGTGGTGTCTTGTTCCCGGGAGGCTCTCTAAGACTGTAGCGCTTACATTATAAATTTGTGGACATACTTGAACAACATGTTTTTGAAATGCTGTATTATATAATGTAATGTCCAGTAATCATTTATTAGACAATCCCACATACTGTATATTTTTGTTGTCTACAGCAACATCATGAATCCTCAGACCCCCGAACCATCCATTTCCTCTGATATTCCTACCAGCTGGACATTGCTGTTTACAGAACTTGCAGCACAGTGTATGCTATATCACTTCTGGCAAGCATTAATTTGTATGCACACTGACGGGCTTAATTACCTCCAGCCAGAGCCAGGATCCCAGTGGGATTTGAATGCAAAACTCCCAGGGACATTTGTTAGCAAATATAAGAGAGCAGCCGGGGTGTTAGCAATGGGATACCTTACAAGGAGTAGGTTATTTGTCATCAGGAAAAACACTTTGGCTATATAGACTCTAATAGTACTATAGTTGCAAATATAGTTGTCATACTGATCATAGCTGCAATAGAAACCCCAACATCTATTCAGGAACAATGTGCTCTTATAGTACTCTTATAGTTGGCTATAGCCTCTTATAGCACTTATAGCACATGGCTGACTATATGAGCTATGAGAGAGCTTGTGGCTGATTTAAAAAAAATAATCACACATACAAGTTTTGAACTCTCAACCTGTTGGTCCGCAAAAACAGCGGACCAATCAATCTACAGCCACATACCACACATTTATCCACTACACCATAAAGGCTTACAAAATATACTATACATGTGTAATATATTGACCTTTTACGGACTTGTCATTTTTTTTACACATTGTCACAACTTATACTTGGATAAAGCATTACTATAAATATGTACTATGGTCTTAACAGCTATATAGGCTATCAGAGTTATAAGAGCCATTATATAATGCCTTGGCTAGCTATATAATATTATACATGTGTGCTCAAACTTATAGTATTATGAGAGCTATAATAGCACAAATAGTATTACCTTTGCTATATAGTACTATCAGAGCTATAATAGCATAAATAGTATTGCCTCTGCTATATAGCCAAAGTGTTTTTCCTGATGGTATTGCAACAAAGTGTCAGAACTGTGACCTTTTGGAGTAACGCAGTTTTGAAGTGCAGAGATGGAGTGGAGGGATAACGGAGTATAATGTTGGAAATTGACTTAGCTCATGAACTAGGTTCTTCTGTGGACCTTGGTCCCTAACTTGTCGGAATGAACAGATGAGAGTAGAGGATGAAAGAGGAGCAGAGTAAAGGCCCTTCGGAGAAGGACTGGAAAACTAAGAAGGGGAGTTGTAAAAAGGCGAGGAAATCTAGTTGATATTTGAACTGCAGGAATAGAGTACAAGAGCTACAACTTATATACTATTGGAGGAATGGGAGTTTGTAAAGAGTAACTTGTAATGTAGGTGCAGAGTTCCATGCAGACAATTATCTAGCAAAGGGAAAATGTATGCACAGGGAGTGTACCATAAGGTCTAAACTACAGAGTCCATGAGGAGCACAAAAATGTGCGTAGGGAAATGTATGGCAGACTAGAAGTCCGGTGTAGGAGGATTGGGGCGGATGTCCAGAGTACCATATGGAGATGGGGCACAGGGTTATGCCAACGGGCAGGACATGAGGAGCGTAATCCCAAGAGTATCAAAGGTTTGGGGGGTTCAGACTTGAGGAATGTTCTTCTTCAGAGATCCGGAGTTCTGTCTTCCAGCACAGATATGACACAAAGATGTTACTCATGAATGCCCAGGTAATGAATATTCAATGGGATGTGACATTATATAATATGCAGAATGGGTGGGCCCTTGTAATAACAGCCAGAACAACAAGCTCAAACAGAGTATATCTGAGGAATATTAACCTGCAAAAGATATTGGCATCATCACCATCCCTTCCATCATAATAGACATTCATGGAAAAATAATTCTATGGTACCTTCCGGGCATCCTCACTGAGGAGAGACAGGTGAAAATATATTTACATGGTCAAGCAAAATACTTATATGGAGATAACATATTTAACAAAGCATGTGTGATAGTCTACAGCATCCCAAGAAAAAGATGGAAAGTAAATGCCCCAAAACACCCTCAAGAAGCTGGCTTAAATCTTCAGAACATTACAAGAATCATGGGGACTATCAGCTATTCCTTTGCAAATTGATAGACTTATCCCCGGCATGGTTCCAACTTGGTCATGAAGTTTGTGTTATTGAGTTATAATCTATACATTACAATTAATAAAAGGTTCACCACAGAAAACTGGAGAGGTTCCACAAGCTTCCCGGTCATTGCGCAAATTCACACCCTCGGGCACCGGTGAACTGTGGTTGCAATCCTTTGTGGAGACTGAGGCCCTTATGAGTGCAATCTTATGTGTAGCTCACCCTATGCTCTATGTGTCAGCTCAGGAGGCACTGGTTTGAGTTAAGGTATTAAGAACAAAGCTTGAAGGAAGTGTCTAGCCACTTGCTGAGAGCAATCAGGGACTGGAACTAGAGTCCAATGTGAGTAACTTTATTATTAGAGAGTATGACAGGTATACAGTACCTAGAGTCCAATGTGAGTAACTAGAGAATAGGAAGCATTGGACTCTGCAGTACTGTCCGAAGTTTTGTAAACAAAGGTAAACAAAGCAGCCACAAAGGCGAAATAATAGAGAACACAATCAATAGTGAATGATAGAAGAATAGATAGAGAAAGGAATGAAAATATATAGGTAGCACAAAGGTGCAGAATCACCAAAACTAACATAAGGACCATATGGATGATGTGACGGTACTAAAGACATGGAGCTCAGTCTTCAATGCCCTTTCTATCATCAGAAACCGGGAGATACCAATACACTGGGATTGTTTCTCCAAAGCAGAGTGGTATGACATGTTGGCAAGCGTAGGAGACTACAATGAGGCCATTCTGAAGCTCACCAGGGTGGGTTTTTACTTCAAGTACGATAGTGGGACTATTTCTGCATTTAGTGGGAAGTTGCTGAATCATGGGGTTTTGTCCTGCAGTGGTGAGAGAATATGTTTTGCATATTACATGAGGGAGTATATACATACAATGTGAGAGGTGGAGATCTCGGGATGGTCAGTATCTTCACATGATCATGTTATGCATTTATAAATGTGGAATAGCAGCTGAACTGTCTTGATCTGGGTACATCACTGCTGCAAGTTTGTAGCTATTTATAGTAGCTCACTCAATGAAAAGGGTAAAACCCAGGCACACTGTATTTGAATACTGGGAGAGAGTAGAAGCCTGGGAATTTTGTATTACTACAAAACCCGGGGAGTATTGGATTGCTACAAAGCCCGGGAATACTGGACTAATATTACATAGTATAATACAACCTGGGTTTCTATTAATTTGTGGTATTATTAATTGGTTCACTGTTCTAGTTATTCCTCAAACCACTACACCTAGCCTCTGGAATGAGTCCTTTGCCTGTTCTGAGAACTGGTTCCACATCCTGATTTGCCTCTCTGCATATGCTACATGACCGGGTTTAGCCTCCATTTTATTGGCATCTCAAAAACCCTTCCAACGCTTAGCTTGATGTTGAAAATACTGAACTGTCCACTTCATCTTGAGGCGCACCAGAATATCTTCTTCTATCCACCCATTTTACACATGGCTTTTGCTCTTAGCCAGTGAACCCGGTAAACTGTATTTTATTACTAAATGTTAGCTGTTTGATACCGTGAAACCGTGACCAGGCTGGGGCATATACATTCAAATATTTAAGTCTGTTGGGAGGTGTCACCTTTCAGATCTATGCTCCAAAACCATGATAATGCAGTGTTGTGTTGCGGAGTCCAGTCACATTGGAATTCATGAGCTGGGTACTTTTTTTGAGGTGGTCTGGTTTGAGCTCTTGATATTTTTGTAATATTTCTGCCTGGCACCCATGAGATATGATTGCATACTGGGCTCTCTTATATATGGCTAAGTGGACTTTGACATCGGCTTCCACGTGGGTAACCTCTGCTCTACCTCTATAATTTCATTCCTTTCTCTATCTGTTCCTCTATCATTCAGTATTGATTGTGTTCTCTATTATTCTGCCTCTGTGACTCCTTTGTTTACCTTTGTTTACAAAACTTCGGACAATACTGCAGAGTCCAATGCTTCCTATTCTCTAGTTACTCACATTGGACTCTAGGTACCGTATACCTGTTATACTCTCTAATAATACAATTACTCACATTGGACTCTAGTTTCCAGTCTCTGATAGCTCTCAGCAAGTGGTTAGACACTTCCTTTAAACTTTGTTCTTAACACTTCTGGTTCCACATTCTGCATCCCTGCTTTGTCCCATAGATGGCCTTGTCCAGCTGGCAAACAAGATTGCAAGGGCCCTGATGGAATCCCTCTGGCTGATGCATGTAGACCTTGACATCCATGACTCCATTAAGGAATGCATGGAAAATGTCAATGGAGCACAAATGGAGGTTGTGGATGGCAACAATGGCAAGGACCACTTTGATGGACAATATGCGGACAGTGGGTGCACATATTTCAAGGAAGTCAAAGCCAGGGCACTGGTTATAGCCTTCAGCATCTCAAAAGCAGAAAGGGAAGGAAACTGCGTTCTCCAAGCTCTCAGCATCTCAGAAGCGTCCAAAGTCATCATCTCATCAGCATCACAGTACCTCTGATTACCAAGTGTTAGTTTTGGTGATTCTGCACCTTTGTGCTACCTCTATATTTTCATTTTTTTCTCTATCTATTCCTCTACCATTCAGTATTGATTGTGTTCTCTATTATTTCGCCTTTGTGGCTGCTTTGTTTACCTTTGTTTACAAAACTTCGGACAGTACTGCAGAGTCCAATGCTTCCTATTCTCTAGTTACTCACATTGGACTCTAGGTACTGTATACCTGTCATACTCTCTAATAATAAAGTTACTCACATTGGACTCTAGTTCCAGTCCCTGATTGCTCTCAGCAAGTGGCTAGACACTTCCTTCAAGCTTTGTTCTTAATACCAAGAGGATCTCCCCAGAAACAGTACTAAGGGAGGCATCCTGAATATCCCAGCTCATCAGTCGCAACTTTCTTCTCACAACAAACAAGACAATATTCCTGTCTGGGTCAAATGGGGGTGCCACACACTTGACACCAACACACTAGCAATGGAAAAAGTTATGCTCTCGCGCCTACACTTTATGGCATGCATCAACCCTTATTTCCGCAGGCATGTGTCTGCCAGGGCAGGGATGGTCAAGCTTTTCAGTGTGTTCATGTGGAGTGAAACATTTAGTGGCAATGGCAACATGCTTTATAGTCCTCCTCCCAAACGTATTTCACACTAGGAGATGGTGGATATTGTGAAAGATATGAGGAATGGTATTGAGCCTGAGTCTGATAGGGCGGGAGCGTCTGTGGAGGTTATCACTGCTGGAAGAGAGAGGTACCAGCTGCAGCTCCAAGACGTGAAGAAACCATCTCTCTTGTCTTTGCCTGTCAACCACCACAGTCCCCCAGACCAACCCATATCTGGGCCCAGCAAGCCTTCAAGTGGAACTAAACGCACTTCAGATAGAAATGAAGGGGAGGAGCCTGTCAGCAAGCGCCTGAGATCAACATGCACCCGTATCAGGCGAAAAAAGTAAAAGGAGGTACTTTTTTTGTCTTTTATTTTACGATTATGAACAAATCCTGAACTGTGCCTATAGAATGTATTGCTATCAGTCACAGTGTAGTCTGTAGCTTTACATATAATATTTAGGTTTGATGATATGTATTCAGACTGTTGTATTTTTGCCTCACTGACCTTTGCCATCATTGTGCTTGTCACATAAACACCCATCCATCTGATCCAGTAGGCGCCTCCCTCTCGTACGTCTAGCATCTCATTATGGTTGGCCTACGATCAGTACTTCAGGCTTTGAACGTTCAAGTTGAGCTAACATCTGCCCAGTCTACAGAGGAGGATCCTACAATCTGACCTGCTTGTCACAAGAAGCTTAAAACTCCCCAGGGCCTGATATCCCATCTGTTGTCAGCAAGAAGCTGCAAATGGTATAACAAAGGGAAGCTACAAAGTTTGACAATTCCAGGAGAACTTGATAGGGGCAATGGTTTGGAGATAAGGGAAGTACCTGACATGTTACCTGATGAACTTAGACCTATCGATGAAGACCCAGAAGACGTGGTGGATGACTATTATGATCGTCTCTATGACCTTATTCCCACAGAATCTGAGGAGAATATGGCTGGACCCTCAAAGCTTCCTGATGAAGATGATGAGGAGTGTATTGAGGTACCCCATCCTACTGCAGGCAAGGTGATTAGGATGGATAAAAAAGATGGAGGAGAGAATTTGGAGCTGAGGAAATGGATGGTGATATGGATATGGATTCAGATACGTCAGATGGATCAGGGAACATTTTTGCACTCTTTGCATCAGAGCTAGACTGGAGGGTTGCTTGTTGGGCTGTACAGGATGGAATAGGCCATAAATCATTTGATAGATTAATGGCAATACCAGGGGTACGCCGCCTCTTCTCTCTTTCAAGCACATATACTGATTCATCTATTTCAACGAAGGTGGCAGATAAATTAGGTCTATCCTACCATAATATATATGGGCTCCATAAGCTGGTCAATTGTGTTCCAGAACGTGCTACTTGGAAAATTAGAGAATTGTGGTTCAGGAATAGTCCCGAGCATAAGCATATGGTTTATCATTGTGATCCTATTGAAGCTATCAAGTCTGCTTATCCAGTGTATCTAACTCTGGGAAATTTGCCCAGATCTATGCGCCGTAAACCTTCCAAACACGCCTGTATTCTCATTGCCTATCTCTCTGTCATCAAAAATGTAAGAGACAATCTTAAAAAGCAAAAGTTAGCAAGTATTCAACAACTCTTTCATGACTCAATGCCCATAGTCTTGGAGCCTCTGATAGAGCCTGGGAAGCGTGGAATGGAAGTCACAGGGGGAGATAGAAGGGTTAGGAGGATCCAACCTCTATCAGCAATTTCCAGGAGAGATGCAAAGCTCAAAATGTGTCTGGGGGTGTCCGTCATCCTTTCTGGGAGGGGTTTCCTCATTGCGACATCCACATGGCCATAACCCCTGATATACTCCATCAACTCTACCAAGGTGTCGTAAAACATCTGATTCACTGATGCTCTAGCTTGATGACCAACAAAGAGCTGGATGATTGCATACGTAGACTCCCACCTTGCTTTGGTGTACGGCATTTCAAGCATGGTTGGTCACAGCTATCCCAGATATCTGGGACAGAGAGAAAAAAAATAGCGAGGATTTTACTGGGGTGCATTGTAGGGAAGGTCCCCTCTCAGGTCGTAACTTGTTATAGGGCACTCCTGGACTTTATCTACATTGCACAATATGCAAGCCATGACGATACCACCATTCAATACCTGGAAGATTCCTTGGATCTCTATCATGCCAACAAGCACATTTTTGTCCATCTTGGGGTACCAGAACATCTCAACATTCCCAAGTTTCACTCCATGCTACACTATGCTGAATGTATTAGAAATTTTGGCACCACCGACAATTACAACACAAAAATGTTTGAAAGGTTCCACATAGATTTTGCCAAGGAAGGCTGGAGGGCATCAAATTTCCGTGACGAAGTTCCTGATAAAAATGGATAATGACCAAATCAGGGATTGAACCTGGAACCTTCTGGATACATGCCAGCTGCTCTACCAATTGAGCTATATGGCCAAGGTTACAATGTAGGATCTTAAACATGACATACAACCATGGACGTCTTATACAGAATAGCTGGTATTATCCTATGGGGTATTGGTATGTCAGAGTATATTCTAACAGTTCCTCAGATGACTCAGTGGCTTAGTAGGCAGGAGAAAGTAGCTATGTTTGAAAGCTAGCTGAACGACTACAAAACAGAAGAAGAGAAGCAGGCAGAGCTGGAAGGAGGTATAGAGGCTAGTTCATCGCCTTCATCCAAACCCCTATCTATTTTCCTGGCTAAACGTCCACATTCCCCTGGCCAGACACTGAAAAACATTCAAACAAGTCATCAATGTCCATCTTTCTCATATCACCTACGTACTTTCCTTAACAAATTCATGGACAGAGGGAACACAATCCCTAGAAATCAAGTAGCCTTGGCCCAGCTTCCATTTGATCGACTAAATATTTGGCACTCATTCAAATTTGTGTTGGATAGTCTGGGTAATGATATAGATAGCATCCAAAATATGGACAGTATAAAGGCCAAGCCTGGAAAAAGAGGAGAGGAGGGCAGATTTAATGCTGTTATTGTAACACATACTGATGAAGCAGAGGCAACAGGCCTGCAAGGTACATCAAACTGTATTGTCCCTCTACTGCTTCTTTGCTTACTATGTCACTATAGGGATGAAGGTTGGGAGATTGAGGGTCATATTCTCACTCCCAGATATCCTTTATTCTTACAACACTGCTCCTCATTCATGGCCAAAGGCCCTTTGGCTTACGTGGAGTGGTACAAAATATCTAGAAATCCTGGGCAATTTCATAACACGTACGTTGTTACCAAGCAAGTCCCTCAAGCTAATGGTGTTGCACCTGGTGCTATTTTTCTACTGGGGAACATACATCAAAGTTGTCATCTGGTTCCTCTTACTGGACCTGGGATTGTTTGGCCGTCTACTTGGAGGACAGATAATGTACTGGATGTTTGTGAATCATATTTACTTAATAATTGGGCTAGTAAAATTGCATACCAAACAATATGGTAGTATAGAATTCATTTGTTGTAGTATAGTAACTTGAAGTCCATTATTTTATTATTGACAACTTTGAACTGATCTGATTGGCTTTAATTGCAATAAAAGTACTCTATATGTAGTAGTGGCATCTATATCAATCTATAGTGCACTATTTGTTAGTTTTGGTGATTCTGCACTACCACTCGTCCTGATATTTCCTACACTGTTGGAGTCCTTGCCAGATTCAATTCCAATCCTGGTCTCACTCACTGGAGCGCTGTGAAGCACTTGTTTCGCTACTTGCAAGGCACCCTTGATCATTCCCTTGTCCTTGGTCCTGATCCCAATTCCACTGAATTCTTCACCACTTTCTCTGATGCTGATCATGGTTGCTCTGTCCACTATTGAAGCAGAGTATATTGCTGCTGTTGAGGCTGGCAAGGAGATCTGCTGGATGCAAAATCTATTGAAGGAAATGGGCTATCCTATCACCTCTCCTTTCACCCTTCATATTGACAACCAATCTGCCATCTCTGTATCCAAGAATCCTGAGCACCATGGTCGCATGAAGCACCTTGACTTGCGTTGGCACTGGTTGAGAGATGTTGTTGACTCTGGGCAGATTGCTCCTACCTTTGTCCCTACTGCTGAAATGCCTGCTGACTTGTTGACCAAGGCTCTTGCCAAGCCTAAAGTTGAACTGTTTAGGCAGATGATGGGACTGACTAGATCAGGGGGGGGGGCTGATGCTTGGGAGGTGCAGCATCAGGGGGGAGTGTTAGTTTTGGTGATTCTGCACCTAGTTGTGCTATTCATATTCCTACCTATTTTCATTCCTTTCCCTAATCTCCTACCACTTAGTGTTCACTATGTTCTCTATTATTTCGCCTCTGTGGCTACTTTGTTTACCTTTGTTTACAAAACTTCGGACAATACTGCAGAGTCCAATGCTTCCTATTCTCTAGTTACTTACATTGGACTCTAGGTAGTGTATAATAAAACTAAGTGAAACTCAGCTGCTGCCCGAGAGGCTATAGAAACAACTGAGGTATTCCTATACTAAACCCCCTACTACTTATAGTCGGAGGTGCTACTTGCTACAGTATAATGACTCCTAGGAGTACAATTGTGCTCCTAGGAGAACAATGGTTACTCCATGGAGTGGTGGCTATGCTCCATGGAGAACAATGGCTGCTTCGGCAGAGACCGGGTTTATCTGGTTTTGTCACTGTATACCTGTCATACTCTCTAATAATAAAGTTACTAACATTGGACTCTAGTTTCCAGTCCCTGATAGCTCTCAGCAAGTGGCTAGACACTTCCTTTAAGCTTTGTTCTTAATACTATTTGCCACAAATGCTATGTTTGGTCTATTACCCAATCATACCAAACTATATCCAATCATAGTAAAATCATGTTTTCCTGATGACCGTACACTCAAAAACTTTTCCACCCAGCGTGATCCATCCAGAAGGCAGGCACATTGGGCAGAATTCATGTCTCAGTATGACTTCACCATTATCTACTTAAGGGGTGAGGAGAACACAGTTGCAGACACCTTGCCACACTTGCCCATTGTGGACTCATGATCCCTTGAAGCACCAACATTCAGAGGATTACAAGGTGTATCTACCAATTTCTTCGGTTGCATAGAAGGATTGAGCCGAACATGTTTCCAACGAGGGAGTACACCTTCACATAATGTACCAGGGGGTTCTGATATATCACTAAGTGGCCCTTTATTCTTTTTTATTTCAGCCATCAGATCTATATGAAACCTCAATCGTGTTTGGTGGTAACAGATGGGGTATTGAAACCTGCATGGCATGTGTGATTCAACTATGTGTTAGGTTCTGAAAGGCTGGCGTGTGTCACAGTATTCAGAGCATCTCTTGCATTTCTCAATGCTCGAGGGACACCACTTCCACTATCCAATATGTTGGCCCAAGAGTCATTCAAGTCATTGTCCTGTACATCATTATAGAATCTATTCAAGTCTTCCAAGTCATCCAATATTAATGAATCACGAAGACTATCTATGGCAGCGGGATGTTGTACATAATTCAACCCCTGCCAACAAGGGATTCACACATTTTCCTGACAGTCTGTCCTTTTCAGATGCATCTTGAGTGTCCTTGCACTCATTCTCGACATCCATATTGGCCATGATTTTGCGATGATGAGGAGCAAACTGATAAGTGTTGAATGCTTTCTCCCAAATTTGATTGCAATGTTTTAGATCCAAAGGCTTTCTCCAACTCTTGAATAGAATAAGCATGCTACAACACTGTGCACTCTTTTCCTCCTCAGTCTTATCAGGCCAAGGCAGAGCAGTTCCAAGTAGCACAGGGACAACAGGTACCTCACAAATCCTCATAAGCTTTCTTTCCAGGCCGTTCCCTCAGACAGTTGTGCAGTATTTTTGTTTTTTACCAAGTGAAGCCTTTTATCTTCACAAGAAAGCAGGGTTTTTTGCACAAGCTCAGTGTGATCCCACAAACACAAACAATTGAAAGGTTCTTCCACACTCCAAAAACAATAGTCTGCCAACTCACTTGTCACTGTGACTTAGGTGGAACACTAAGATAATCAAACAGAACAGAAAGTAGACCGGAGGATATATAACAAGGGAAAGACAGGCAATAACTACACATCATCGAAAGACAGTATTAAGAACAAAGCTTGAAGGAAGTGTCTAGCCACTTGCTGAGAGCAATCAGGGACTGGAACTAGAGTCCAATGTGAGTAACTATATTATTAGAGAGTATGACAGGTATACAGTACCTAGAGTCCAATGTGAGTAACTAGAGAATAGGAAGCATTGGACTCTGCAGTACTGTCCGATGATTTGTAAACAAAGGTAAACAAAGCAGCCACAAAGGCGAAATAATAGAGAACACAATCAATACTGAATGGTAGAGGGATAGATAGAGAAAGGAATGAAAATATAGAGGTAGCACAAAGGTGCAGAATCACCAAAACTAACAGGAGAAGAAGTCATCATAGGCGTTAAATTTCGTCCCAGGCTTCTTAGTGATGTCCATAGCAGCCAGTGTCTCCCAGATCTTAACAGGATCATGAATGATGCTGTCAAGGTGAGTACGCTGGTCTTTGGAGATATTGAGGTATAATGCACCAGCAGCCTTCTCAGCTCTCAACTCCCATTTCTCTTGTGCTTCAGCATCAGTCTCAGGGCGCTTTTCAGTGCCAGAGACGAGCCTCCACAGTCCCTTGGTCATCAACCACGCCTGCATTTCATCACTCCACTGGGGGTAGTTAGTGCCAGACAAGTGATAGCAATTGGAGAGCAGGTGACTCTAGATTATATAATATAGACTTTATATTCAGCCACACCGCATGCTGCTACCTTAATTCCATAAAACTCAGACTGAGGTGAGTAACATGCAATAGAGCTACATTATAATTTGTTAGCTGATTACATCCTACTGTAGTGTTCCTATTTTCACAGGTTAGGATTAATACATCAGGAAAAGATGAATTTATTATGAATGGATATAAGTACAATAAAGTGCAACTACTATGCTATAATAGCAAAAATATCACTCAGATCAATCCAGATCTATAAGTGCAAATCTTACAAAGTCCCATGCTATAGTGTCCACTCTAGCGCACTATATACACAAAAAGTGGGAGTATAGCATGAAAAGCCATATATATCAAAGTCATCCCAGTACTACTTGACCTTGCACTAAATGGCTATATTTCACTCTAGATGCTATTAACTCAGTTCAGACATAGTATAGCAAAATTTTCTGTATTAATTTAGATGGGGCAGAACAGGTAAAAGACTGTGAGATATTAAAAGTGCTACAATATATGTAATGAGTATTCCACACTAAAGCTGCCTCCTCTAACATATTACAATAAAAATGGGATAGGACAACTCAGACAACTCAAATAGTGCTCAATTACCCCTACAGAACACAAGTTACTGGGGGTGGAGACGGCAATAAAAAATTAACATGACTTACCCAATATACTCCTCAACCATATTAATCATGCTGGCCAACTATATTAGAGAACACTTTGTGATATCTTTGCAGAATTTCACATGATATCTCATCTGTAACCCAGAATTAGTACAAGTGTATAGTATATAGAATTTTGACATAATAACTGACTTGAATTTCTAACTCCAGAGTCATTATGTGGCGGATGGTGGAAGAAGTAAAAGAAGGGCAAGAGAGTGGCTGAAAAAATTATATGCATAATATGTAAACACCACCATACAAGTAAAACTCACCTGAGCATAATCTATAGCTCTGTGTATAATATTTACACAATAGTAAGGTCCAAGGTGACAATAATACAGTATAATATGGTAAGTTATTTAAGTGTGTGTATTTTGTGTTGCACATTAATATGTTCCCATGCTTTGACACTGTGCAGCACAGTGACAAGCAGGGGCAGAGGGAAGGAGTGTCCAAGACACTCCCGCTTTCCCATAGTTGATGGAGCACTTCAGAGAGCCTTACTAGCATGATAGACAACTTTAACTGCTCTGGAAGGCATTTAATCCCACTCAGAAGTTCAAGGTCCCCATCTATCCTATCATTAATTTTAGCAGCATACTCAATTTCCTCCCAAGTCATACAGCCCCAGATCATCATAGAACCTCCTCCAAACTTGACAGTTCCCTAAACTAATATATCACTGAGCCCCTGACCTGGCTTTTTCCACACCCACTTGCATCCATCTGACCCCAGGTGATTGGTTTTGGTCTCATCAGGCCATACAACCTTCTTCCAATCCTCCACAGTCCAGTCCTTGTGAGCATGAGCAAAGTCCAACCTAGCCTTACAATGCTTGCAGAGAGAAGAGGTGTTTTTGCTTGACCACAGCCTTCATGCCAGTCTTTTTCAAGTGCTGGCAGACAGTGTTTGGGGAGAGAGGTTGGTTGATGATGTTGGTAAGAGCTTTGGTGATCTGGACAGCATTTTCTGCCTTGCAAGTGGAGATGAGATACATAGCATGGCAGACATTGGCAGGAGAAAGCTTGGATGGACAACCTCCAACAGACTTTTTGAGCTTAGAACGCTCCTTGGAACAAAGTCTAGAGATAATAGAGACATGTAAATCAGTAGAGGCAATGGAGTGAGTAGTTTGACCTGCATTAAGGAGGTTAAGAATCTAGTTCTTTTGCACAGGAGAGAGGGATTTCGTGACGATGGTGGTTGAGAATAAAGAAGTGTGTGAACTTTTTTAAACTCAGAAACAATGTTTATATGTGTATCTTTGTTTGCAGTACCAAACTAAGTCAATTATTCTATGATATTATTGTGATCTCTACTTTTAACTCAAAAGTGAAAAAACTGTTGCAATAGTATTGCTGTTTTGTAATGTACATATTTTCACAGCCGTTGGGCCAAATCACTTAACCCAGAAACCATTGTGTAGCCAAGACAAAGTACTTTTGTGAACCACACAAAAGCTAAGCAAAATTTTCATGCCTGTTGGCGATGCACATTTAGGCCAAACACTGCAACAGTTTTTGGAGTCACTGTAGGTATATTAGCTTTGCTTGCGCCTCATTTTTAAAGGGGAAAGTCTGAACCCCAAACTATGAAAACCATATGCCTTATTGTCAGACACTGGCTCAACCGGGTGGGAAGTTGCTCCCTCTGCAGAGAAATACTTGTATATAACCAGTACTTAGCCTGCCATCAAAATGGCACATATATTTCCCACAAGTCGTTTCCTATAATAAGGTTGCATTATATCATCTAGTCAACTCTGGTCTTTGTCAGTGAGACTAGCTCTAGTCTCTGGTTTGAGTGCACAGGCATTTTACCCATGTTCATGACATCATCTGCCTATAGCAGTCATCAAGGTCTTAATGGGTAATTGGCTAAATTCTTACACTAGCCATTGCATGGTTAGGGTGGTTAGGGTTACTGATTAACACTTTTGTGTTGTTATTCTATAAATAGATAACCCAGGTGATAACATACCATTAGGTTACTGTAAAGGCAAATAACTCCATTCAAATATGTAACATTTTAAAATGTAGTGGATCATCTGCAGGTTTTGACAAGCATCGTCAATGGGTTTGCAAGGCTCAGGTTGTACCAAAACATCTATGGAAGATTTTATTAAAACTTCCTAAGATGGTCGATTCCACACATTACTAATGGTTCCTCTCAGGATCTTTTATGTTATTGTTTAAATATAGATAGAATTTAGAATTTTACACCTATTCAAATAATATACCATTTACATACAGGGGTGATCCCATGGTCCATCCAAAGATAGTTACTATCAGCTGTACCAATATTTATAGCATATTATGCAACTCAGTGATGTGGCATTTCTGGTTGTCTAGATGATTAGTATGTCGTATCCATAGAAAAAAACCATGCAACCAACTCAATTGAATCTTTTATTGCTTTCATAAGCTTTATAGGGCTGGCATGTGGGGAAAAAGCAACAAAACAAACATTGAATTCCTTTTGCAGCATTTTGCGGGGCATACTTGCATTTGACATGTATATAATGTGATGTTTGTTCCAAGCTTTTGAAATATTGCCTGATATGTCATCCATAAACACTATTAAGGGTACACTATAAACCATCTTGCCAGGGGCTTCACTACAAAATTGGTTGGGCATTCTAGTCTTCCACATGTTCAAACAATCTATGATCTCAATTAGTATATATCCATGACTGCATCTCATATTGTTAATGATGACTGACCTGAAAATTGAATAGAGTTTCCCCCACAAATATCCTCATGAGAACTCTGAAAGTGAGAGACAGGAATTGTCACTCTAGTGTTTCTGACAACAAATCCAGACTACAAAATCATATTGATATATTCATGATCAATTGTATTTGGACTTACCCTTGTTTCAGTCACATCATGTCCTAAAGCAGGAAGCTCCTTTTTGAGGATATTTTGATTGTCCGGAGTGGGGCATGCATAGTAAAACTGCTCAGGAATGAAGTATGCACTAAAGGTGCACTACAGGAGTTCGTGTGTATAGAACAATTTACCTCTGAGGCGTACATTCTGTGAGACCCGGTCTGGAGGCACATCAAACAGCATTTTATGTCCATGAAAGACCTGGCTCATCCCATCACCTCCATCTTCAGGATAATCTTGCATAGTTGAGTGAGTGATATGATTGGAAAAATCCTAGAAAGAAAAAAAAAAGAGCTAACAAACCATCCGTATTTCTCTGCAATGACAGAAAGTACTCACTTTCATAATAGCTTTAGCGATATCATTTATGTGAAATACTATGTCAGAAGATGACACCACCCTCTGTGTGTGATTGCCAATAATTTTAGAAACATCCTTCCGGCATTTCCTGAGAGCTCCAAATGATGGAACTTTCCTTGCCCCCATCTCCACTGCTCATTTCAAAACTGCAGACTTTTGCAATTTGGAAAATTGCAACGGGGAGAAATGAACAATAGGTCAGTGAGGTACATCTGTGATTATGTTAGCGGTAGAAAACCAGCAAGATAGAGTGAGAATACATACCTGCATGGATGGCCAGGGATAAGACAGAGATTTGGATGAAGCTTTATGCTGATTGCAACAACATGTAGGAATGGGAAAATACTTGTCTACATGACTAGTAAGTTCTACATCATCAGGAAAACCCATTTTTCTATATAGCTGGGTATGTTTCTATAGCTGCTATGATAGCTATTAAATTCCTATTATAGCCAATAAATCTCTATGTGAAACCTTATAGTTAGTATATCAGCTATACCAGCTATACCAGCTCATTTATGTCTATGAGAATTTTTTTCTGATACTAATAATGATAGGATTAATATTCACCAAATATTTTGGTATGTATACAAACTAGCCCAATTATTTAATAGAAATCTATCACAAACATCCAAAGCATTTTCTGTACCCCAGTGAGCAGGCACTTGATCTTTTCCAAACAAAGGCAACAAGTGGCAGCCTTGTTGTATCCTGCTCAATGGTACTATGGAAGCTGGTGGAGTACCATCAGCTCTAAGTGCAGGTTTTGTAATCACATACATCATATGTGTTGGATCTACACTACCTTTCAAATTGGTGTACCATTCAATGTACGCCAATCGAATTTTGGGCCAATGTTTTGGTATACCAACAGAACCACCATGAAAAATGGCAGGGAGCTTAAATATCACTTTAACTCTTCCAACTCGTGTACCTATGTCATGAAACATTAATTCACAACTTGAAACTGATTATGGAATTAGAGCAGAATATTACCAGCAACACCTGTCGATTCTGCTTCTAATGAGTCCAATACGACAACATTATCAAACTGTGGAGCAATTCCTTTCGACCTAGGTCTTGCTTTGATGACTTCGTACTTTACACTTGCACTAGCATCATCTCCAAGGTGAATTGGAGTGAGTTTGTTGAAACTAGTGAGTACATCAAGTGAATCAAATGGGACATTTGTAATATTGACTTGATTTCTGGACATATAACCTGGCTGACCATGCATCAGGTGATTCAGAAACTCCTTGATATCATGTATTAAGCCATGACATTGGTGGTTCTGTTGAATTGATTGAAGGAATTGTCATGGAAGAGGAGGTACTTTGGCTATTTTAATACCTAAGCCAGATGGATTCTGGAGAATATCTTGCTGGCATAGAACTGGTCTATTTTGTAAAGACAATTAATAGCATTCAAACCACACAGTTTTTTCTTGTCTTGTTAGCCAGGTGGTCATTTGTGGACGCTTATTCCTATGATTTGATGCTCTCCATGCATCCTTGGCCATGTTTATGTGGAAATGTTTAAACATTTCTGTGTTGTAGTTATTTGTAGCCCCAAACCAGCAAATAGAGTTGACATAGTGCAGTAGAGAGTGAAATTTAGGAATATTCAAATTTTCTCTAACACCCAGAGTGACAAAATTTGCTTTGTTTTGATGAAATGTTTTGAGAGCATCTGATATCCAAGGGTTGTATCACTATGTGTGGGGTACTGAGCAATGTAAATGAAGTCCAAGAGTGATCTAATTGCGATAATTGCCTGCTTGGGGAGTTTTCCTACAAGGCATCCTAAAAGTACCTTGGCCATATCTTTTCTTTCACCTCCAGATATCTGAGAAAGAGGCGATAAACCATTTTTGAAATGTTTTGATCCATATGCAGGAGGTAAAGTGCATATTCTTGCATCCAGTTCCTCTGTACCCATAAAATCTTGGCACCTTGAGACAATATATTTGATGATACCTTGATATAACTGATGTAAGACATCATGGGTAATGCAAAGATGAATATCACAGTAGGGAAATCCTTCCCAAAATGGCCTGTAATCACCTCCAGATACATCTTTATCCATACATTGATCAAAAAATTCCCTCTTTGAGTTCAAAGATGAGGCTTGATTAATGACAGAGAGAGTCCAGTCAGACGTCCTAGATTCCCCAGCTGCTTTATTTTCAAGGTCTGTTGCTGGATGCCTGCACTTGGGACATGTTCCATACTTTGAGCAAGCCACCAGACATTGCTCTGGATAGTCGGCAACATAACAAGCAAGAATAAGGTGAATTTTTCTCACCGCACCATCTCCACCTGTAACCTCCATTCCTTTACGTCCAGCCTCAATAAGTGGCTCCAAAATCATCTGTACTGAGGCATGGAAAAGTCTTTGAACACGTGCTGTCTTCTCCTTTGTTGTTAAGCCTTTTTTCACCAATTTATTGACAGACAGATATCCAATAAGTACACAAGCATGCTGAGAGGGTTTGCGCCTAATAGAGCTGGGTATATTGCTTAGTGTAAGATACACTAGATATGCAGACTTGTCGCCTGAGAACTGAGTCAACTGAGTTTTGTCTGTCGCTATTATAACAGGAGCAACAGATGCTCCCTAAGGTAGAAGAGCCTAAAGTCAAAAAAATAAGTATGAAATTAAGAAAGGAACCACTGGCGTGAATATATTAACCTGTACAGAATGCCACCATTTCCCAGTTCACATCTCATTGAATATATGATCATCCCTGTTGCTGTTTGTGAATATTCTTGAGGGTTTATAGACTATGTCTGTTGCATGTGCTGGATTGCCCAACAAAGATGCAATGACTTGTAAGGGGTTTCTATATTGTATAAAGTGTTTTTCTTCTGGACGATCATCAAAGTGTAGATATTTTGAGAGCCATTTGGCCCTTTCAGGAATTTTGGAGTCAATAATTTTTAATAATGAGAATAATCATAATAAAACAAATAAAAGAAAAAATATCAAAGTTATTAAAGAGAATCAACAGAATTAACAAAATATAAAAGAAATAAACAGAATAAACAACATAATGGGAAAATAAGAAAATAAGAATACAAGGATTTTAGGGAATACAAAGGATACAGAAAAAAAATTTAAGGAGATCAAAAGAAATAAACAGATCATATAGATTAAATAGATAGCTTAATAGATGAAACAAAGTAAATGGAATTAATAGAATATGTAGCAAGTATTATAATACACAATTTTTAGCCACAATTTTGATTCTTCTTTCTAACTCATATTTCTCAATATCAATTTTGGACCTTTGCATCACACAATACTTTCCTTATTTTTATAAGGACTCAAATTTTCTCATTTGCATTCCTACAACATTGTGGCTATCCAACGGTTACCCTTCCCCATCACTCCTTTCACTATTAGACTAGAGGTTACAGCAGGTATCCTTTTACTTTTCTCTTTCTTTCTTTTATTCTCTTTTCACATTCTGAAACAGTATTCTATCTCTTGGTTTACTTGTTTGGTCTATCCATTCATTTGTGGCTGATAAGCCATTGACAGATTTGCTTCAGTAGAACAATGTTTTTGTTGTTTTCCTCCCCCCTGTCATAATTAGCTCATTTTCACAGAAGATTGGCTTTAATATGTTTTATGTGGGGTGTCTAATGCAAGTGATTCAACGCTTTTAAGAGGTATGAAATTGGTTTCCACATATAATTCTGTAACTGTGACAATATTGCTCCCATGGAAAGATTACTGCCATTTACTTCTACTTTGTACTTCTCATTATTTTATTGTAAGGCGAGTACTGGGGTGGAACTAACTTGTCTTTGACTTTGTTAAATGCATTTTTCTGCTCCTGTTCCCATTCTAACTTGCATTCAGGCTAATGAAGAATCCCTCTCACCATTACCAAATCCATGTGGACTTCATTTTCAGAAAAAAATATTAGACCAAGGTAATTTACCAAGGTTTTTTGAAATTGCATTTTTCAGGTTTTAGTACAAGTGATTCTTTTGTGATATGTTAAGTGCTTGGCGTGCCATTGCCTAATATTCCTCAGTTGTTTTTGTAAAAATCATGATGTCATCCAAGTATATTAAAATCTTTGCTTTATAGATAGTATATTTATCATAGTTTAAAATATCACTGGTAAATTTATAAGTCTGAAAAACATCACTAGTGGCTCAGATAGCCCCTTATTTGTTATGAAGACTCATTTAATATCTAACTTAGTAAAATACTTGGCTCCATATAGCTTATCTACTAATTTGTTGATTGGTGGTGGGGGGTATTTGTTTTTAATAGTGATATTGCTCAGGTTATGGTAATCCTGAACTGGTCAGAGTTTGTCATTTTTTTGATGCAAAAAAACAGTGACATAAATAGTGATTAAGATGAATAAATTTGGCCCAATTCTAAACCTTTTTTTTTATGAGTGTATCTAGTTGCTCTTGTTCTCCTACATTCAGTAGGTAGAACTTGTAATTCAGTTTGTGTTCACCTGGAATTAATTTGATAGCATAATCCCACTTAGCCTTGACACCAAATGTTTTAGGAGTTAGAATTAAACTATCAGATCACCTTTTTTTCCAGAACATTTGCATACCTTGATATTGTGAAAATAAGAATCAGGTCATGGTGTTACACTTTTTACCCATATTAGGAAGAGCCTCCCTACTATTTTAGATAAATTATAAATATATCATTATTGGAATGTTATCATTGAGTCAATGAATAACACTATACTTGTTTGCCCATTATATCTATGCCATAAGCCAGAGATCTGAGCTTTCAAAAGCACTACAATCTCTTAAGTCAAAATTCACAAAATTTTGTGCTTCTCAGATTGATGTTTCTTATGCTCTGCCACTTAGCATGCTCTTGTTGTATCTTGCTCCCAATACCTCATACCTCCACTTTAATATGTTGCTTTGGACTTTAGTCTGCCATATGCTCCCTTCAAATCTTCCGCCATTGATCACATAAACTCTTAGTCAGACCACATGATATTTTTTAACACATATAATTATTTCTTGCTAGATATTTGTCTGCATATAACTCCATCTCCTCTCATGGTATGAAAAACTGTAACTCCTGTACTCCATTCCTCAGTTTGAGTAATTACTAGATTGAATAGCTGTTGAAGGATGCAATCTGTACCATAGACTTTGTGACAAAACCGGATAAACCCGGTCTCTGCCAAAGCAGCCATTGTTCTCCATAGAGCATAGCCACCACTCCATGGAGTAACCATTGTTCTCCTAGGAGTCATTATACTGTAGCAAGTAGCACCTCCAATTATAAGTAGTAGGGGGTTTAGTAATACCTCAGTCGTTTCTATAGCCTCTCAGGCAGCGGCTGAGGTATGTTACATTACATTTATTAGAGATCACCTTAAACTAACATCTATTGTAGTTTCACTTAGGTAAATAATAAAGTCGTTTCTATAGCCTCTCGGGCAGCAGCTGAGTTTCACTTAGTTTTATTAGGTTATAAGCCCTGGTGCACAAAAGCTACGCAGGAAATAATTCTTATTTGAAACGGCAACCTCGGAACCATGACCACAGCACGCGATACATCCGCATGTCCAGTTCTCACTGGACCCAACAATTTTCAGATATGGAAACTCCGGATCATCTCAAAGCTACGTCGGGAAAAAGTTCTCCGGGTTGTTATTAAAGAGGAGCTTAAGCCCTCACCAGGAAAACCTACCTCCTCGGAGGATCCTGAGATCACCTGGATACTTAAGGATGAGAAGGCACATGGAATCATCCAAGACCACATCTCTGATGCCCTCCTAATGAGGACTGGAGACCTCACCAGCTCCAAGGAGTTATTTGATAAACTTGTCTCACTCCATCAAACGTCCAACATTGCCTTGGCCTTCTATTCATTCCAGCAACTCACCAAATTGTCTTGGGATGAGACATCACCTATCCAGGACCACATTGCAAAAATCCGGACAATTGATTCACACCTTTCCGGAATGAAACTAGGAGTTGATACCAAACTCATGGCCTTCGCTCTTCTCCAATCTCTCCCATGCACTCCTGAATGGCAAATATTTCAGTCATCAGTAATCAACATGATTGAAGAAAATAAACTTACCTTTGATGCAGTTGAGATCCGGATCACTGCAGAAGTTGCACGACAGTCAGGGAAGGCCCCTGGAGGTTCCGAATCAGCACTCAAATCCGAGGAGAAATGGTGTAACTTCCACAAAGCCAAATC